GGGAGCACGAGTTGACTTTTGAGGGTTTGCAGATGGGGGGCAGGAGGGAATTGGGGGGGGGGGCAGAGAGAGAGAGGGAGAGGAGCAAGCGCGCGAGAGGAGGGCTGTCTCGCAACGAAATTGGACTTACCGCTGCGATGATGGCGGGACGTGCGCGATGGTGAGCGAGCCTGCATGTGGAGATTGGTGGGGCCTCCACCTGAGAGGGGTGGGGGCAAGGCGGGGGTGGGGTGGGAAGCGAGAGAGAGAGGGAGAGAGCGCGAGAGTCAAAAGGAAATAAAAAATAACATAAAAAGAAATAAAATAAAAAATACAGTCCTAACAAAAAGATTGACAACAGCAACAACAGCAAGAATTAGACTGAATCATGCATCCATCAGATGTGAATCAATCCATGGTGATGATTGGAATTGCACGCGGACATCAAAGGAAAAGAAAATAAAAACCATGCGGATTGCAAAACACAGTCAATCGCTGGAGGCTTTTGCAGGCGGCTTTTGTGTGGATTTGAGCAAGCTCTTGTCGACCGAGCAATCCAACAACTAACAAGCAGTGTAAACAAGAAGCGATTGTGATTTGATGCTTTCAGAATGGAATCGCATCCTCACGATGAAGAGCCAGCTGGCTGCGATTTTTGGCTTTGCCGACACGCGATTCCCCTTCTCAGACCAGCACCTTCGATCAACTTGCTCCAAATCGGATTTGCTCTATCGCATTCGCTATTACCTATTCACTCTCAGAGTTGGTGTGCGACTTGCTTTCTCAGAACCTAACCGCACTTACTCAGTTCATTCTTCATTTTCCTGCAATGAGCCAGTTGGACGGTACAAAAGTCTCACCTTGCCGCGTGTGCTGTGCATTTTTTTGGACTTGCAATTGAGTTGTTAACTCTCCATCTACCCTCGATGCTTTTTCTCAATAGAGCACTCGGTCAAGGTCGGCTCGTACTCGCAGGCCCTCGAGCAAGCGGCCGCGGTCGACTTTAGCGCAATCCAGCAGTACAACATTATCAACCACGCAGGTACCCCCAAAAATCAAACCCCATCAGCAGTCATCTCGAGAGACAAGAGTGCGTGTAGTGTGTGTAGTGTGACTGTGGTTTGGTTTGGTGGGGGGAGGAGTACCATACGGAAGAAAGCGGGGGGAAAAAGAATGACGACAGTAGTGAATGTGGGGGAAGACAGGCAACGATGAGAGGGGTGCAATCTGTGCAAAACAGTGTAACGAGATGGATGGATTGGGACTTGAGGGAGGGAGAGGGAGAAGGGGGGGGGAGGCAGGCGGACGATGATGATGATGGTGGTGTGAACGAATGCTATGAGGGAGAGCGAGGAGAGTTGACCGTTTGGCCCTTCCCCGCCCCCCTTCATAGAAAGCGACTCTTCCTATTGGGAGAGGGTTGGGGGGACCACTCGCAATGGAGCGCAACAGAGAGTCGGGAGGCGGAAAGGAGACACCCCCCATTCAGCAGAATGGCAACAAAAACAGCTCGCAATGCAAAATCCAGCGAACATAATGGAACAAACCAAAGTCGTGATCACTGTCGCTGTCGCTGTCAGGAAACTTAACTGCTTGTGGGGATTTGCTGAATTGCTGCAACTAGGTGTCGATCGACTCAGCCGACCGGTCGTCGTGTTCAATGCCTGCAATCTGCCCAGCTCAAAGCAAATCGACATGAATCTGCTCCTCCAGTGAGTTCAGCCCTCACCCTGACTCTCACACCCCTCTGGTTGTTCGATGGGTCTATGGAACCTTGGAGGAGAAGCGTTGTGCTATTGCTTTGTCTTGGCGTTCTTGAGGGGTTTTCTGACTAAACCCATGCTCGTTTTGCTTTTTTGACAGATACATCATTGTTGCCCTCGACAAGGTTGTCGAGAGCGATTATGTGATTGTGTACTTGCATGCTGGGCTCAACAGTGACAACCGCCCAGGAATTGGCTGGGTCCGCGAGGTCTACAAAGTCTTTGACCGCAAGTAAGAGCAGTGTTTGTTGGTTTGTGAATTGCCTGGTTTTGAACTCCACTCCTCACCTTTTTTTTAATCGGATGGCAGGTACAAGAAAAACCTTAAGGCATTATATATTGTGCACCCTTCCGTGTGGATTAAGGTCATCATGGGTCTTGTCCGTCCGTTCATCAGGTAATTCTCGGGTTTTCGCTCAACTTTATCTGGCTGATTTGCCCTCACATGACTCTGTCAATCTCATTTGCTCACCTCCTCTTTCCACGTGAAACCTTGGCACAGCTCCAAGTTTGCGCAAAAACTCTTGTACATGTCCAGCCTGGATCAGCTGTCGCAATACCTTCACGTCGACCAAATGGATGTGCCTGAGTTTGTTCGCGCGTACGTCTCTAGTCTTGTTGCTGTTTTGGTGGTCTGTTAGAGGGGTCGTGTGCAGCTAGACCTTGAGTTCACACACACACACACACACACACACTCGGTGCAATCCAGATATGACAAGCGAGCCAACAAGGACAAGCCAGCAGCACTTTCGTCGTCCGTTTCAACTGCATCTGTGGTGCCTGGCCGACATTCGGAGCACCAACAATTTGGCGTCGCCCTTGCAGAGCTTGTTTCTGATAACCAGCCAATTCCGCTTGTGCCAAGACTCGCGACCGCTTACATTCGTCAACACGGTAACATCCCCTCCCTTCCAGTGCAGTGTTTGAGCTTGATAGTGCCCGTGTTTTCAGTCATTGTACTCACATCCGATTTGACAGGGCTGGATGTTGAGGGTATCTTCCGCCGATCAGCCAGCGCGCAGACCATTCGCGTCGTGAAGGAGAAGTTCAACAAAGGTGCGCGTCATGGCTGCTGTCTCGCTGCTGTGCTTTGGTGGTGGTGATGTTTGTGGTGCCAAGAGCTCACATTGGTTTGCCGTTGACTTGTTGCTGTTGTTTGGGCAGGCGAACAAGTTACTTTTGAGGAATACTTGGACGTGCACATCCCGGCTGTCTTGCTCAAAACCTTCCTTCGCGAGCTGCCCGAGCCGATTGTCACATTCGAATTGTTTGATTCAATCATGCACATTCTGGGTACAGCGCTTCAGTGACGATGCTTTTGATGTTTGTGTTCAACTTGATGCTCATGTGATTTTGAGACTTTACACAGACCTGCCTGCAGAAGAAAAGGTCGAGGCCACGCGCCAACTCTTCCAGACCCAACTGCCAAAAGCCAACTACGTGGTACTGGAGTACCTGATGCGCTTCTTGCACGAAGTCCTGCTGCATGCCGAGACAAACCTGATGACGGCAAGCAACTTGGCCATTGTGTTTGCGCCCAATCTCGTTTGGTCGAGCACACATGCAGCGTCGCTTGTTGCGATGGGCAAGATTAACACGTTCGTGCACCTGCTCATCAGCAATGTCGACGGCGTGTTTGGCTCAAGTTCGGATGGCGCTGGCGTCCAACAATCGTCCAGTGCTGCGCCCGCGGATGCCTAAAACAAAACAAAACAAAGAAAACACGAAACAGCATGCTCATAGTGTCATCTTTATGCAACATTTTTATTGGTGTTTTGTTCATGTTTGCTTTTGTTGTACGGTCCTTGCACCGTGATGTTCACAAACAAAAGTGTGTTGAGACAACAAACCTGTCCAATGCAACTCCAATGCGTTGGTTTTTGTTTCGGTTGACCGCCTGTCAGTTGGACTCTCTTAGTTTGTGTGCCTTTGTTTTCGGATTGAACGGGGGTGGAGCACGACACCAACTCGTTTTCAGTTGCCCTCCTTTCCATATGCCCCAATTCTCATTCTTCCCCCATTTTTTCGGGTGCATCGTGTTTATTTCTTAGAACCTTCCATGTCCCCATTTTTGGAATTGGAACTCGCTCACCAGTCATCTCTTGCTTTCATCCATCCCTTCATCGTTGAACGAAATGGCGGATCTTCTCAGTGCGAACGTCACTGCGACTGTCGAGCGATGGCTTGCGGAGGGCGCCAAGCTGTACGACTATGGCATGAACGACTTTGCTGGTAAGGGTGGCATCGATGGGTACTTGTGTATGTGTATGTGTGTATGTGTGTGTGTGTGTGTGGGGAGGAATCCGACAAAAGAGCGGGAACGGTTCCAACAGGATCGCCCTTCCCCACTTCCCCCGGGCCGGTGGAGCTGCTCACTCTGCTGTGGTGTTGAGACACTGATGCTATCAGCACAGTGAGATAGAGAGTGACAGTGAATGTGGAGAGGAGTGAGAGCGGGGCGAAAAAAAGGCGGGCAATCACACCACGTTCAAAGAAGAAAAAAAAAATCCCCCGTTTCTAATCGTCGCTTTCTATCGCTTTTCGACCGCTTTCACGCGTCGCTCCACATTGTGTAAAATGTGATTGGAAACCACTGCGATGTCGAAATCGCTGGTTGGACGAAAAAAGATTCAATGCAGAAAAACACAAACATAACAACAATAAGAATAATACAATAAATAATAATAATAATAATCGGCTGAATAATAAAAACATATGGATTTGGAATTGAAGTTCAACACGTGGAAGCGAAAAAAGAAGAAAAAAAGTTGGATCATCTCAAAGAACGGATGAAGAACGGAATCAATGTTGAGAGAATGAAGGAAAGAAGGAAGCGAAGGAAGAGGAAAGCGAAGGAAGAAGAAGAAGAAGACGCAGGTGTTAATAGCTGGGAAACAAAGAGAAGAAAAGAAAGAAGAAAAGAAAAAACTCGCCCTCAGTTTGGGACATTGTCGTAAATTGGTATTGTAACAATAACAAGAATAATAATAATAATAATAATCATATTTATTATAGGAAGAAGGGTTGAAGGAAGATTCGTCGGAGGTAGAAAAACAACCAACTGAACTGACTCACTCACTCAACTCACTCAACTCACGCAACTCACTAAACTCACTCTCACTCGTGCTTGGTGGTTTGGATGAGCAGATCCTCGCGTCGGAAACTGGCTGTTCATGAGCCGTCCCCATGAAACGATCGCACTCACGCTGGCATACTACTTTATCGTCTTTGCCGGCAAGCGCGTCATGCAAGGTAAAGCTCAGACATCAAACCCCCAACAAAGCAACAACTGCAAAAAAACGAACAAGAGGAACAACAAATAAGGGGGAAGCAAAGATGGCTTTGATGCATGAATTTGGAAACTCACACTCGTGTGCAACAAATGGCTCAGACCGCAAGCCGTTCGACCTCAAACCCCTGGTCGTCATCTACAACGCCGCAATGGTCGCGCTCTCTGCGTATATGCTGCACGAGGTATGGCATTGCTTTGGAGATGTTCTGAATCAACAACAACAACCACAACAGCACTCACCGTTTGTTTGCTGCCTGCCTGCTGCTCTTAGTTTGTTATGACTGCTTGGAATGCTGGATACGACCTCGTTTGCCAGCCTGTTGACTATTCTAACAGCGAAAACGGTCTGCGAGTCAGTACACCAACACGACGATGGGTGTTTGCTCTCGTGCGCACCTTCAGGTTTCGGCTATTTGTGCTCACTCACTTGTGGTCAATCGTAGATGGCCAGCGTCGTCTGGTGGTACTACTTTTCCAAGTTTATTGAATTCCTCGACACTGTAAGAAATAACATCCAACGGTCGTTCCTCGCCAATTCTCCTGGCTCCCATTCTCACTTGCCACGTTCAAACTACTGTACTCCAGTTCTTCATGGTCTTGCGCAAGAAGAACGAGCAAATCACCTTCCTCCATGTCTACCACCATGGCAGCATGTTCTGCTTGTGGTGGATGGGCACCAAGTGGGTCCCCGGCGGTCAGGGTGAGTATCAGCAGATCTTGCGTCTTGTTTGATTGGGGGGTGGGGATTTGACGCACGAAGCTGTTGTTGACATTGATAATGGTCTGATTTTTCTTATCCCGTTCGATCTGATGCAGCTTTCTTCGGCGCATCCATCAACTGCTTTGTGCACGTCATCATGTACGCGTACTACATGCTGTCGGCCATGGGAATTTCCGTCTGGTGGAAAAAGTACATTACCGTGCTTCAGCTTGTACGTTTCTCGGGTTGATTATAACTTGCGACCGCTCTTGCCACTTGCTCATGGAACACCCACTCACCCTCGCTTTTCTTTTGCCATGTGGTTTGATGGACTTTCTCACATCAGGTCCAGTTTGTCATCGCTTGGATCCATGCCATCGGCTCGCTCTACGTGGACTGCAACTTCCCGCATTGGATGCACTACGGCCTGATGATTTATCTCTTCACCCTCATCCTTCTCTTCCTCAACTTTTACATTCATTCGTACGGCCAGAAGGGCAAATCCAACAAGAGTGCTAGGGGCCAAGGCACCAAGCCTGCCAGTCGCAAGTCTGCCAAGACTGAATAGTGTGCTTTTTTTGTTGTTGTTGTTGAGATGCTGTCTCGTTGAGTTTGTCTGCGAAAATCGCAACGTGTCCTAATAGTATGCGCCTTTTGATATCCTCTGCCTTTGCTTCCCTTTTCGGGATTCAGCAGTTCCTGGTGCTATTGGTGATGAAACAAGCACTTTGAGCGCAGTCGTTTTTCTTTTGTTTTTGTGCTTTTTGACGAATGCTTCTCCGCGTCGGGCAGTTCAATCTGCTCAATCTCGTCAAAGAGAATGTCAAGTTCTACTGTGGCGAAATGTACACCAAAGTACCGCCCCCACTTTGACGTTGTACTTGTTGCAGTGAGATTGTCAACCAGAAAGCGACCGCAACCATTTTCAATGCTTCTCTACTACGTTTTCGTTACATTAGGAACAAGTCGATCTCAAAGTGAACTGGATTGCGCAGCAGCTGCGTCACATGAAGTCAGACATCCTGGGGTTCCAAGAGGTGAGCATTGCTGCGCGACGAGTGACTCTGTGCCGAGACCGAGGAGATACGGAGAGTGAGTGGACGAGATTGACACAACCTCAGGACCACCAGCACCCCCCCCCCGACCTCAGGTCCAGCGCCCAGCCTGGCGACGAATGCTGACTTGCAAAGCCTCAGACTGACTTGCCAGAAGCGTGGGAGGGCTGGCAGCGCGAGAGAAGCCTCGACTTCAACAGAACCCCTACTCAACTCCACTTACTCATCTCATACAGGTCTTTCATGAGGAAGTCTTGCGCCGTGCCATTGCGCAGTCTGGCATCTACTCGGCTGACACCCAACTGATCTTGTTTGGAGCGGAGGGCTCGGGTCCGCGTGTTGGGTTGCTCTCGCGCTATCCGGTCGTCGACACTGAGGTTTGTCAATCAAAGCAGTCTGGCTTGCATGGGTACTTTTTGTTGTGTGCATGTCATTCATTGGAAAGGAGATGGAACTTGTTTTTTTTTTTTGGGGGGGGGGGTTGCGCAGGAAATTCACGAATTCCCGCCGGAATCGCTGATCGAGATTGATTCGCACATCATTCCCGTCAAGAAGTTCTACCGCCCGGTACTCCGTTGCGTGGTGCGGCTGCCGACGGGGGACCTGGTGACGGTATTCTGCCTGCATCTCAAGTCACAGCGGCCGATGGTGGATTCTGCGCACCGCCACGACTTGAAGGCCAAGGCGATAGGCCAAGCGAAATCGCTCGTCATTCGTGCCGCTGAAAGCGCTGCCGTGCGCTGCATTCTCGTGACCGAGATGAGGAACAATGCACGGCCTGTGATTGTTTGCGGCGATTTGAACGACGTTGTTCACAGCGGTAAGCTCAGCGCGGTGTGTTTAGGTGTTTTGGAAGAAACCCGTCCTCACGAGTGCCATTTCTTTTTGTTTGTTTGTTTGTTTGTTTGTTTGTTTGTTTGTTTGTTTGTTTTTCGTGCGTTTGCTTTGGTCTTTGCTTTGTAGTCACCACGGAAATTGTCACTGGAACACCTCCCTTCAAGAATATGAAGTTTGAACAAAAGGAGCAAATCTGGGACGCGTTGCTCTGGAGCACCAACGAGGTCCAAGTTCGTCAGGTTGGTTGGGTTTTCTGTTTGCGCTGCTTTCAACTTGTCATCTCTCAGAATCAAAGGAGGGGTGCCATTGAGGTAGTCCCGACAAAGCCGACTCGTTCCTCTCACACTCGGGGAGGGGGGTACTGTTTTGCTTGGTTGTTTTTGTTGTCACTTTTGTCAGAGCGATCGCGACGTCACCTACTCACACATCCACAACGGTCGCTACCTGGTGCTCGACCACATTCTCGTGTCTCAGGAGTTTGTCCGCACAAACCCGAATCGGATTGGTTATGTGCAGTTTTTAACCATCCTGAACGACCATCTCATTGACGAAACCATGAGCGACGACGGCCCGGACGTGACGACGTCCGATCATGGTCAAGTTGTGGCTGTGATCAAAGTCTACGACGCTGCACACCCGCGCGATGAAGGGGATATGATCATCCCGCTGCCGATGAATGTTGCATCCCGTCCACTCTCGCCAATTCCCACCAAAGCTGCTTCTTCGTCTTCTTCTTCTTCTTCTTCTTCGGGTAAGCCAAAGGCCGAGACTATCCCGCGCGTTCTCTCGTCCTCGGATGTTGAAGCTCCTCTCGCCTTTGCGGCTCACGCTGGCATCAAGAAGTCGACTTCGCCGGCCGCCGTCTCTGCCCCAGCTGCGCATGTCAATGCCCCTCCTCCTCATCCTCCTTCGGTTGTGGTTGTAGGAGACAATGCTACTCCCGTCCGTGAGATCGACCCCAAAACCCTCCCGAGCGGCGGATCCGTTCTGGCTGACGATCCTGCCATCGTCGTTGCCATCATGCCGCCGGACCACGATGGGTCTCCAGTCATCAGCATGACTGCACCTGGCGTGGAGCGTTCGACTTTGTTTGAGCTCGCCAAGTCACCCACACCCTTGAGTGCGAAACCTTTCCCGTTCCCCATTCCCGCTGCGTCGGCTCCGGTACCTGCAGCCTCTGCCTCTGCCTCTGCCTCTGCCTCAGCCGCTGCCTCTGTCGCGCCAGCTGCGCCAGATACTTTGCGGGCAGCGAGGTCGCACGAAGAGCTACCGCGCAGCCGCGACCGCGAATCTCGGTCAAAGTCCCGGTCCCGGTCGCGATCTCGATCCCCAGGCGATGCTATTCACGCGGAGCACGCGCATCATGAGCGTCATCGTAGTCGTGAAGGCCATCGAGGCGACAGGGACTTTGAGCCTGACTTTGAGGAAATGGATCGCGCTCTGTTCGGGCCGTGGTGGGAAATGGGACGGCGTCCACCTCACCCTCGTCGCGACCGACCGACAGGGGCTTGGGGCACCGGCAGCGGGGCTGCACTGTTTGCCAAGGACCACGAATCACACCGTGACTCTCGTCGTTGAGCTTGTATTTGCGGATCAAGTTCACGCAATAGCAAACGCTTAAAGTCAAACCGGGAGGCATTGAACAGGCAAAGCATGAATCATGTGTTAAATACAATGCTCGCCATGGATTAAATATGTAATGTTTAAAATACAAGGGTCGGCAAAAATTCTGCCTTGAAAACAATGAAAATGAAGGGGTATTTTTTTTTTCTTTGCCAAAACAATGCATCGCTGTACACGTTAGCGCGTATATTGGCGTTCGGCTGGTCCGAAAACGCGCGTCGCTGCCTCCAGAACCGGTTTGGACGAGGTAGTTGTCGCAAATTTGGTCGATGAGCCGGGTGATGGCTTGGCAGTCGCTTTAAAATCGGGTGAAACACGCGAGGTTGGATTGCTTGCCGGGGCAACGTCGAGACCATCGCTTGCGTCGTCTTCTTGCTTGGCGACAAGTTCGGCGTGTCGCTGAGCATTGCCACGCTGCATGGCACGCTGAAAAATATCCGGCGTCACAAAAAAGCACATGTACATGTTGCTTGTCTGCATCAAGGGCGCCTGGAGGGGCACCGGCGTCACGCGCTCATCATTGCACTCGTACCACCGACCTGCATGAAAATCCAGCACGTGGCTGGTGTAATGGCCTTTCTGGATGGATCCGCCATGGTGATGGACAACGCTGACCAATCGATACTTGAATCGCTCAGCCCCAGTCGAGCCCACAGACGCCGACGGCCCGGGCAGAGGCATCTCGAGCAGCGAGTCGTCATCAAGGAGCATGATATCGTCCTGTGCTGCAGAGATGCAGCTTGCGATTGTCGCTTCACGAAGCTCCTGCTCCTCCTTCTCGCGCTGCTGCTCTGCTTCCTTGATGCTTTGCGCCATGACAAACTGAACCTGCTCCTCCTCTGTCATCTCGGACAGGTTGTCCGAGTCGACTTTGGAGCGTTTCGAGGCGCTAGTGTCGCCGGCCTGCTCTTCAGCGCCAGAGTTGCGGACGCGTTTGACAGGGGTGGGTGGCTCGGGAACGCTCGGTAGAATTAATGGCTGCGAATGAGTCGCTTTCGAATGCGCCACATTGTCTGGGAACGACGGCCAACGAAAAAAAAAAAGAAATACAGGAGGGAAGAGCAAAACAATGAGGCCCAGCACACAAATGAGAAATTGCGAACAAGGCAAAACAGAAACACAATTGCAACCCTGTTCCCCCCCCCCCTGATCCAACGCCAAAGGAACAAAAAAAAAAAAAAAAAGACTGCCTCACCTGCACAAACTGCAAGACCAAGATTAACTGGGGTGGTGAGCTTGGATAGGTTGTTGCGGAATCGCATCAGATGAATGGCGAGGACGTTGGGAAAGCGAAGTATTCGGCGTGTGCGATTTGCCGTCTTGAAGCCACAATGCTCGCAGGTGCGCTCAACTTTGTGGGGTGTGAAATGTTTGTGAAGAAGAGAATCAAGCGATGGCTTTGCGGTGAAAGCTTCGAGCGGACCAGGTAGCTCGAGCGACAGGCAGTAAAACTCTTCGGTTGACTCTGACAGGCGTTTGCAAGACAGGCACTCGAGCTCCTGGCGCTCCAGTCCGGAGAAGATCCGTTTGATTGGGTTGTCTGGGTCAGTTTGAGCGTTTGGGAGAGCAGAACTCGAACTGGCAGCCGGCAATTGGGCGGCAGGTGATTGTGCTTTGACGACGGAAGGGTCGGTTTGCAGGATGATGGATGCGAGCGCTGGAAGGTCCCCGTCGCCGAGATCGTCATTCTCTAGTCTCCTTCGAGTCGGTTTGCTCTGGTAACTGTGGAGGGAAGGAGTGTCGCTTGCAATAAATTCGACAGAAGATCCCCCTTCGGAGGGCTGCTGTTCAAGCACCGTCGAGTGAGCGGGTGTGGATGTTGCTGCTGCTGCTTCGTCGCTCGCAGGTGTGCGAGCAGAGATCGTCGAGGCCTGAGCAGCGCGGAGAGGCGAGAGCTCGTATTCTAGCATTGTCAACACATGGGTCAACAGCTCGTGTGCGTCTTGCTGTCGAGAAGTTCCAAAGGAGGGGTAGCGATCGCCGACGCGCATCTTGACTGCCGCCGAGCTGGCGGCCTCGATCGCCGCGTCTCGCTTGGGCAAGTGTACCTCAAGCGCAGAGGGGTGGAGCTTTCGTACGAGCTTGAGCATCGCTCGTGTCAAAGGACGTTGTTGGGAATCAGAGGAATTCAAGTCTTGATACGCGTGCTCAATGCTCTGAATACACAGAGGCAAATGAAGCAGCGCTTGAAGCATGGCATTCAGATAACAGTCGTTGCCCTGGTTCTCCAATCCTATCTTGTCGTCGCCATTGCGCGTAAAGGTTTTCGTAGGACTGGAGAAGGTGAGTGAACTCGTTGCCGTCGTGGGTGAGTAGTTGGTGCTGGAAAAGGGCGAGTAACCAGGCCGAGAGCTGGGTGGGCTGAAGAACTGGGAGGGAGTCAAGGGTTTGGACGGTGTGAGTGGCGGGGCGGCAGATATGCTCGTGGACGCGCTAGGAGTAGAATCTCGGAGCGAGCGATTGCTCGAAGGAAAGTTGGAGTGAAATAGCCGGTTTGTGGGTGCGTAATTCAACGAGGTTGTCATTGGCGAACTGGGCGAACAAGCAGTAGCCACGACCTGGCGATAGCCAGTAGACTTTGGCGAGACCACTGCTTGCCCATTACTGGACGGTCTTCGGTTTTCATCTCGCAATACGCCAAAGGAGCCATCCAACTGCACAGAGCGTCCTGCCTGCGGCAAGGACGGAACAGACCATGATTGCAATATGCTCTTTTGTGGCGGCTCGCTCGAGTGGAGCAGCTTGTTGAATTCACTCAGAGCTTTGGTTGGGAGATCCGGTGCGAAAAGGTTGGACAGGTTTTTGCAGAATGAGCGAAACAGCTCTGCTTGCTTGAGACTCTGGTCGCACCCGGCAAAGCTGCACTTGAATGTCCTTGTCACTTGCGACAGCTGGCTGGTCCACTTCACATAGACTACCGGCCCTTCGTGGACACTGAACATGCAGGCTTCATGGGTGAGATCCACTTTCTCGACAGACTCTGCGGATTTTGGATTGCGCTGTGTAATCTTGAGGTAGATTTGGGACACGGTGGCCTCCAGTCTGACCGACGCCTGAAGGACAACCTTGCATTGCGATCCGCTGGTAATCTCCGCACGTTCGAGTTTGACACTGAATACGGTCTGGTCGGCAGCCTTCGCCATGATGCAGCGGGGGTTGCTTGCGAAACCAAAGCGGCCGCGAGTGCAGGGGTGGACAATCTGGCAGCAGCGATCACGTCCACCACCAGCGGGAGGCAATCAAAGCGTCGTTCGGGCTCTGTGGAGTGCTTTGCGTGGAAGGGAAGGAGGAATGGCTCCGGGGTGCACCGAGCTTGGGGCAGGTCTGCAGTGAAACAGCAAAACGAGCCGAGACAGTGAAAAACGACCTCCCTCTTCCCGTTCCGAGCCAGGAGCCCGTCCACGAAGCGCTATCGACTCGATCGTTGCAGAAGCTCTGCGAACAAGGCGGCGGGCCACCCAATCGAACTGGCGCGTTGAACGCGAGGAAAACCCGAAGCAGCGTCTGTTCGACGATTTTTTTTTTGGATTTTTTTTTTTTTTTGCGCGCGAGAGTTTCCCGCCAAAAAAAAAAAAAAAACCAAAAACACAAATCGAAGGAATCAGGACTGGGTCAAGCAAGAGCAGAATCGAGCGAAGTGCCTCATCTCACCCGTTAAAATTCATTGGTTGGTGCGGGTGTGATTACGGGATGGAGCTCGGCCACATGTGACCGACAATATCCGTGAAAATAAAAGTCTTGTTCAGCAACTAGGCACATCGACTTGTCTGCCCCACCCCCACCCCCACATTTCTACTCGTTACTACAACTTTGCGCGATGGTATTCAGCTCCAACAAGCCGAAAAACGTCACCAGTAAGCAAAACAAAGATTGGACGTTTTGTCCTGTCCGTTTCTCAGTGGCAACAGTCTATCAGCTCGAAATGTTTCCACGTAATTCGATGGCTGGCGCCGCAATCTTCGCTGTGCCGCATCGCATTGCTTTTCTCGCCTTGTCATCAAAGAGCTACAGACTTGGATGCAACTCTGCTGCGCTTGCGATGCCGCTGCGATATGTCTCGGCAGAGAGCAGGCCGAAAGCCAGTCTTTCTGCAGCCTGCAGTTTCGCGCGATTATTGATGCAAAGCGTTTCGTCTGGCACCGAGCGCACGCTCCACCCACTCTCCAACGAGACATCTGCCGAATCATCTGCGGCAGCGCGAGCCGCGCATCCGTTTGCGCAGCAATGTCGAAATGCCTCGAGTCTTGGCGTTGTGCCGCCTTCCCTGGACTCGGCCACTCAAGTTGAAACGCAGTCAGAGTTTCGGTATGTGTAGTGATGTTGTTTGCAACATTGTAACTCGTCCGGAGTGCAGTTCGAAGAAGAGCTTTGCTCACTGTATTGCATCACCGACTCCCCAGTCTGCACCAGCTCCGCCTCCAGAACTTCAAAAAGTTCGAGGACATAACTTTCACCCTGACGCCCAGCCCCAAGATTATCGTTGGCGCGAACGGCTCGGGCAAGACGCAAATCCTCTGGGCTATTCTCATCTTCCTGCGCGGCCACAACGCTCGTGTCCCCAGCTCCAAGCACTTCAGCAAGGATGTTTTCCGATTCGAAGATGAGCTGGAAGACCTCTTTGGTGATCGGTTCTTTAGCAATAAGTATCAGTCGCCAGATACGCTCGTTCGCGTCGGCGCGCCAAACAGGAAATTCACCCTGACTGGCACGTTCCACGATACCACGTACCATCACACCAACGAGAACGTGATGCTGGAGTATTCGCTGGACAAAGGGCTGCTTCAAGACAAACCCGACAACCACCAGTCGCTCGCCCCCATCCGCTTCGCCTTCATGCCACCGATGTATCAGTGGGGAGACAGAAAGGAAGAGCTACTCAGAGAGCACATGTTCCTGACCGCTGGCGTTCAGCATATGCGTTTCCGGCTGTTTCAGGCAAAAGACTTTGTGAGCGACGGACTGAAGCAGCTCGGTCTTCAAGCCACCGTCTCTGCGGTTCGCGACGGCGTCGATGGTCCGGTCACGGCCACTGTCACCGAGAACGGCGTCACCCTCGACATTGGTGCCTGCGCCGGCTCGCTGCAGAAGATTATTGCCATTCTGACGCTTCTCTACCATCTGACCGCTGGCGCAACCATCAACGCTGCGCAAGACGAGGCGCGTGAAAAGGAAATTGCGCACGACCCAAGTCCCTTCAAGCAGCGCATCTTCCTCATCGACGAGCTCGAAGCACTGCTCTACGAGAATGTGACAGCCAAGCTGTATGACTTTCTCGTCAGCACGTGCGCCGAGCACGACATCCAGCTCATTGTCGCGACCAACTCGCGCGCCATCATCGATCCGCGCTTGAAGACGGATCAACAGATTATGTTCCTCACTCCGGATGGCAAGGCCGTCGAGCTGACAGACGACCTGCCCAAGGACGAGCAAGGTCGCGCTTCCCTGTATCCAATCCTCAACGCACTCAGCCAAGTCAAGGACAGCAAGCCACTGCTCGTGTTGGAAGGCGCGAACGACCAGGCGTTCTACAGCAAGTACACGACCCTCGGCCAGCACTTCCACTTTCTGACCACATCGGGCGCCGTCAACAAGCACGGTGTTTCCAACGTTCTGACGCAGGCCAAGCTCAAGCACGTCTTTCTCAGAGACAGTGACATGTACGCCGCTTCGCCCGATCTCCCAGCCGCCCAGGCTCGGATCACAAAAATTGTGGGCGCTCCCGTCGTCTACACGCTGCTGCCGTGCATTGAGTCGTACTTGATTCTGCACCGACTGCTCAGGAGCGCGGATGCAGGCACACTGCGCGTCAGCATGATCCAGGCCCTCCAGCAGCGCAAGTGGTACTTTGTCTCGACCTTCAAAGCGTTCTTCAAGGAGTCTCAGCAGAAATCGCCGCCCGCAGCGCACCATTGCGAGCCTGAAAGAATCACGCAACAGTCAGCCGACAGGCTTGCGACCATGACGAACGAACACCTCCGCAAGCTTCCGAAAGGCGATCTCAAACTCAAGCGTGACAACCGCAAAGACCGAGCATCTGCGGCCGCTGATCCAGCTGCTGATGATCCAGATGCCTTCACGGTCACGACCGAGGCGAGCACGAGCACCAGCAACCCAGCTACAGAGGCCGCAGCAGCCCCTGATTCGGCCCTCTCGAGTGACCCAGGCTCGGACGAGCCACCGCAGGATCCTGCGAGTGATTTGGCTTCAAGTGAGAACGACGAGACCATGGCCATGCTCCATCGCGAGCTCGCAGAATCGGAAAACGACCCGGACGTGCTCTGGAACTCTCTGCTCGCCCAGCTGACAGCCGAAGCAACCTCCTCGTTTGACCGCAACAATCGGGTCTCTTTTTGGACCACGTATGTCAGCATGGTCCGCGGCCACGACTTGATGCCGAATGCGACGGCCGTGATGGGCGGTCTCGAGCGCCAACATCTCCATCCCGACGTGAAAGCCCTGCTTGACCAGACCGAGCAAGCTGTTCTCGCGTGCCTGCGTTGACCTATCCCATGTGTGCACATCCAAGGCCGCACGTACCTTCTCTCCTTCATCGAGCAACACGCAGGACTTTTCCGGCGTGCAACCATTTACGGATTGTGCAATGGTGTCGCCCTAGGAAGGCTGAGATAAACTCGCAAACATTCAAGTCACTTCCAACCTTGCCGAATCGAGTATTGTACTCTCTGAGTGAGTTGGGAGCTCGCCGACTCTGATTTTGTCGGTCAATTCATTGCAATTCCAACACGATTTCATTTCCTTTTAGTTTCTTTGCTTCAAGCCTGTCTGTCCAGCAAACTTTGATGCGCCATTGGCTGTCAAGTTCTGAGCTTATTTTTTTGCGAGTGTCTCAGAATCCACGCAATCTCTCTCTCTCTCTCTCTCTCTCTCTCTCGCTCTCTCTCTCTCTCTCCTTCAGCTTCTCGCCAGACTTTGCGTTCCTCGCAATGTCACTCTTTCACTCGGCACCCCCTCTGCTTCTCGTGATTGTCTTGATTCTGTTTTCTTGTTGGTCTGAAGTGACCTTTGCTCGCTGTCGCTGTGTTCTTCGTCCTGTTTGATTGAGTGGTTCTCTGTTGAATCTTCCGTGGACCAATCGTTGTTTGCCAGCACAAATTTTGACCTTTTTTTTTTTTCTTTTCTTTTCTTTTTTTCTTTTTTTTTTTCCATTGATTTTCCATTACGAAAATTCAGTCTTCTCTCTTTTTTTTTTTTTTTTTTTTTTGTAATTTCAATCATGCGCTCCACAGTTGCGATCGCGCTGCTCGTTCTGCTCGGCGTTCATCTCTCCAACGCCACCTCCTACTTTACTGAGGAGTTCAGCGATGGTACGTCACTCACCACACTCCAATTCGCCACCAACAACAACGCTGTTGCAACCTTGAACAACAACAAGAAAAAATAAAAAATAAAAAAGCGTGCGATCTTTTTTCTTTTGTTTCGCATTTCGTTGGTTGTTCATCAACGTTCTGCCCAATCGACCGCCTTTTCTGCTTCTTCTTCTTCTTCTTCTTCTTCTTCTTCAGCGAAACGCTTTCTGCGTTCTTGGTTTGTCCTTTTTCGCTGGTGCTGATCTCGGCGCGTGTTCGTAGCAGAAGCTGGGACAGCAAACGACCTTTAAGAATAATGCTTCAGTTGCGATCCTTGTTTTTTTTTTTTGCCTTTTTTTTTTTGCTTTTCTCTTTTCTTTGCTTTTCCATCATCTCTGCTTCGTCGTCTTCCTCTCGCTTGTCGCGCGTTCTTTCACTTGGCTTACTTCTTCGCTCATTTCGCGCATCGCATCTCACACGCTGGTCGTTGCTTGTTCTCACCAATTTCATTGATTTTTTTTTTTTTGTTTTGAAACTCACCTGGTTTTTTTTTTTTTTTCCGTTCCTTCCTTTTCTTCTGCTTTTCCTCAAACGACAACAACATCATTATCCAACAGCTGGCTGGGAAGGCCGCTGGGTCCTGTCCAAGGCCAAGGGTGCCGAACAAGGCGCCTGGAAGTGGACTGCTGGCAAGTTCTTCAACGACGAGGAGGTCCAGAAGGGTATGTGCATCGAACAACTGAACTGCAACGATTTGCCGCCACATCAGCAACAAAGCATCGTGCTTCCATGCATTGTGCGTGTTCATCATCAGCACACTTCTAACTCACAAACACACGCCCCTTTTTTTGTTCTTTCTCTATCGTCCCCAGGCATCCAAACCGCCCAGGACGCTCGCTTCTACGGCATCTCGGCCAAGCTCGACACCCCCGCCTCCAACGCGGAAAAGCCCGTCATCATCCAATTCCAGGTCAAGCACGAGCAAAAGATCGACTGCGGCGGTGGCTACGTGAAGGTTTTCGGCTCTGATCTCTCGCAGACGGAGATGGTTGGCGACACGCCTTACCACATCATGTTCGGCCCCGACATTTGCGGCTCGTCCACCAAGCGCGTCCACGTCATTTTCAACTACAAGGGCGTCAACCACCTGATCAAGAAGACCATCCCCTGCAAGGACGACGAGCTCAGCCACGTCTACACTCTTGTGCTCAACCCCGACCAGACCTACGAGGTCCTCATCGATCTTGAGAAGGTCGAGTCTGGCTCGCTTGAGGCCGACTGGGACATGGTTCCCCCCAAGACCATCCTCGACCCCGAGGCCAAGAAGCCCTCCGACTGGGACGATCGCCGCAAGATTGACGACGAGACCGACTCGAAGCCCGCCGACTGGGACAAGCCCGAGTTCATTCCCGACGCTGACGCTCGCAAGCCCGAGGACTGGGACGACGAGGTCGACGGTGAGTGGGAGCCCGCCCAAATCCCCAACCCCCAGTACAAGGGTGAGTGGAAGGCCCGCCAGATTGACAACCCCAAGTACAAGGGCGAGTGGGAGCACCCCAAGATTGACAACCCCGCCTACAGCAAGGACGAGTCGCTCGGTGTCTACACCGACCTCGGCGCTGTCGGTTTCGACCTCTGGCAAGTCAAGGCTGGCTCCATCTTCGACAACGTCTATGTTGGTGACTCGCTCGCTGAGGCCAAGGCCTTCGCCGAGAAGACCTGGAAGGTCAACAAGGACGGTGAGCTGAAGGCCAAGGAGGCCATCGAGAAGAAGGAGCGCGAGGAGCGCGAAGCTGCTGAGGCCAAGCGAAAGGCTGAGGAGGCTGCCGCCGACGAGGAGGAGGACGACGACGAGAAGGACGAGCTTTAAAACAGCAAGTCGCTCTGGTTTTTTGTTTTTCTTCGTATTTCTTTTTTTTTTTGTTTCGATCTCTGTGTTCCAGTACCACTTTTTTTCGTCCGATTTTGTCCCCAAGCAAAATACAGTACACTTATTCTTGATCAACAAGGTATCAACAGTCATATTCGAGGTTTTTGTCATTTTTGAGTATTCAGCTGCTACATTGCAATGGGTGTTTTCAAACAATGCTACATAAAGTCGCTGGCGCTAGGTCGTGACGCCGCCGTTCTGGACGAGGGTGCAAGAGGGTCTGCAACAGCACTGCCCTGTTGTGGCGGAGGCAGAGATCGGGAAGCTTGTTGCGGCTCCATGCCTAAACCAGTTCGAGAGCCCGAGTCCGACTTGTAGTCACTCTCAGCACGACGGCTACTTTTGTGGTGCTCGTCGTAGCTCCGCTCGTGACGTCGCGCATCATCTCGGTCACGATCGCGATCATGGCGGCGGCTGCTGTTGCTGCTGCTGCTGCTTCGCTCGCGATGACCGCTGCGGTCGCTCTCTCGAGTTCGATCGCGCTCTCGGTCGCCATCATCGCGGTCATGGCGAGACTTGTGGTGCTTGTGGTGTTTGCTGTGCTTACTGTGCTTGCTGTGTTTGCTGTGCTTGCGGTGTTTGTGGTGCTTGCGCTCACCGTCTCTGTCCCGTTTGTGCGACCTTTGCTCCGAGCTTCGGCTCTGCTTGCTCCGTTCCCTGCGAGCTTCCGAGCGATGCTCCCGATCAGAATCGTTGTCGTCCGAAGAATCGTCTGCTGAAGATGCCGACGACGACGAGGATGAAGAAGAAGATGATGACAGAGTCGAGGAGGCTTTGGAGTCTTTTAAAAGTGGCCGCGTCGCCGAGCTTGAGCTTTGCGATTCTTTCGGAGATGGCGGACGGTACAACGAGATGGGTGGGCCTTGCTCGTCACCAGAATCACTGTGCGGGTCTGCAACCGATTGTGCACGACCAGATATAGAAGGTTGCGACGCGCTCTGGCCCAGCGAAGAAGCTGCAGCATGGTGTGTCACCATCGGCGGCGGCGGGGGACGGAATAGCTCGGTCTGGATTTTCACCTGCTCGGCCAACTCGGCAGCAGCCTGCCGCTGGCTCTCTTCGCGCCGCTTCTCGCGCAATTCCTCTTCATCTTCGTCGTCAGAGGCGTCGAATATGGCCTTGAACAAATCCATGGACGGCCTGTCAGCCTCTTGCTGGGCCGCAAGCGGATCGCCCAACGGCATGACGAGAGGAGGTGGCGGTGAAGCAGACCTCCCTGAGCCAGCCGGAAGAACGGCGTTGGCATACTGTGGAGCCAACGGCATGGACAACAGCCCAGCTGCTGTGATGCCGGTTGAGCTCACTCCCGACTGCTGCTGTTGGGAGTTGCTCGCTGGGGCAGCGGTGCCTGGCGGCTGCCAGTTCAACACTGAAAATCCGCCACTTGTGCCCGAAGAAGAGGCTGCCGAGGCATCGTCGCCACCCGGGGCTTTGCCCGGGTGTGGATTGGGGACATTAAACCGCTTGCAGACGAGCGGCACGGGCACCCATTGCTCTCGCGAACGCTTGAGCTGAATAGTGGGGCGTGCCTTTCGAGACGACTGGTCGTCACCGGCCTTTGGCGGCGCCGATGCGCTATCGCTCTTAGAAACAACGGGCTCGTTGCCCAACGATAAGCCGGAAGACGTAAACCGGTTTGCCATGACCGACGACATTGGCCGGAACATGTTCGCAGCCCGGCAAAACTCATCGAGCTCGCGCTCACGCTCTGCCTCGGATAACGCAAGGTCCTTTGGAGGGCGGACGAGTGCCGCAGCATCCTCCGACGCTGCCGCTGCAACCAGGTTGAGGTACGCTTGATAACGCATCTGCTTGCCAGGAAACAGGTCGAACGGGCGGAATTCCGAAGCAAGCGCCGCTTTGGCCACTCCAGGAGCAACAACCCCATGGGATCGAGCCGCAATTGCTGCTGCTGCTGGTGGCGGTTGCTGCGGTGGCTGCGGTGGTGCGGTCTCGGCAGTAGCAGTGGTGGAGGCGGAAACAAACTTTGACAGGGCCGAGGCTGCTGGAGTGAACGACAGCAGATTGGCTGATGTGATGGCAGACTTGGCAACGGGAGCGGCTTGATGTTGCTGCTGCTGCTGCTGCTGCTGCTGCTTTTGTTGCATCTCTTGTTGGAGGGCTTGCAAGCGCAACGTGTCGGCCATGCTTACGTGGTGGAAAACCGACCCCTTGGCGCTTACATTGTTTGCCGCCGCCAGGCGATCTGCGCCCAGCATCGCTCCTCTTTCGTCCGGTGTGAGAAGCGGGGCAGGAACGGGAGCTGCTGGAGCGCTGGGGGCGGCAGACACTGGCACCCCCCTGCTGCTGGTGGATCCGAATTGAGCTGGTAAATTGTGGGTGGCCGGCAACGACTGTGCATCTTTGCTCAAAGGGTCATCGGGCGTGCGCGCGTTTTTCGTAGGCGCTGCAACGGGGAATTTGTGCATTGGAACAAAGTTGCGTGGGAGCGACGGAGGCGGGAAGGACTTGAGTGCTGGTGCTGCTCGAACAGCCATCACAAAGCCGGACACGGGTGGTCGTCCATCGGTGAGTCCCACTTGTGGGCGATTGGGGTTGTCGATGGAGGCCTGTGGGATGCTGATGCCCGCTCGAGCAAGAGCCAACGACGATGCTGGAACGTAGCCCAAACCGCAAGTATTGTCCTTCGCCTTGTAGTCAAACAATGGAGTCTCGACACCTGCCTGTGCAAAGGACTGGCGATGCAGCTGGGTGAGGGCTTTCAAGTCGTGCGCGGAGGCGGACTCGGAAGCATCCTCTGCGCCTCCGCTTGACCGAAGGTCGACGACATCCATAGCGTCAGCCTCCTCGTTTTCATCGTCGTTCATGGCGTAAAGAGTAGACCGTCGGGAGTGAAACGAGTCAGCCACCTGCGACGTTCGCAGTGAAGGGAGGTTATCCCCGGCGTCGTTCTCATCATCGTCGTCAATGCTCATGTGCGCAGCAAGACGCCGTGGCCGATCGGCTGGTTTGGAGACAGATGCTGCCATCATCCCTCCCCGCTTTGAACGCGCCGCTGCCGCTGAAGAATTGGCGGCCGTCGGCCTCTTGAAAATGTCTGGCTGCTCGTCCGCGTCGTCGTCCGCGTCTTCTTCATCTGCACCAAGGTCTTGCGCGATCGCCGTTGCCATCCGGTGAGCCTGTTTGATTTCATCGACAGACATGTTGGTCGTATCCACCAGCGAAGAAAACGTCGCGCTGGCGGATGCTGGCTTTGACGACGAATCTGGTCGCCAATCCATGGACGTCGAATTGTCGCCTTGGGGTGGCGCTGATTTCGCGTTGTGTACGCGGCCCACTAGTTGGCCTTCTTGCCAACCCATAGCTTTGAGCAGTTGATATCCAAGGGCGCTCTGTAAAGTTGGTAGAAGAGAAGGCGGCACAAGCAACAGAGAAAAAAAAAAAGTCAGAGGATGCGAACGGCCTGCATGCGCTCAAACGCACCCAACCAGCCAGACTACAATACCTTTGTTGGCACAATCATGTTTGCGAGAGGAGCGATAATCGAGGGCAGTCCCGCAGCATCGTCACGCGAGCCCAGCATGTCGCTCAGACCTCGCTTGCCGGCGTTGTTCGCAAACAGCTCCGTCGTTGCAACTGCACCCACCCCAGACTCCACCAAGTCCTCTTCGTCCATAAAGTCCTCGGGTCTTTGTTACATTCACCGAGAAATTCGTTCAGAAGCAGAGAAGAGGTCAGAGTTAGCTTTGTTGTCCAACCAGAATCCCTAAAAGCACGCTCAGAAAGTCTGATTCTCGCCAATCCCCTACCTTTGAATTCGCTGCTCGGCCTTGGCATTGCGAGACGATGTGAATGTGGATGGAGCCCAACCTTCCTTTGATCCGACAGTGTTGTAATAGCCAGCAGAGAAGCCTCCCGTGAATGCACCGTGGAAGCGCCGTCTGCCCTGGCTGTCCACCGCGATCTGCTGGTGCGCTGGCAATGGCTTCTGTTGATCAAAAGGCAAAAGGAACAACGAATCCATCCGGGGGTCAGCTGGCTCTGGCCGATGCGCAACAGAAACAGAAACGAGCGCGCTTTTGCTTGGCTTACTGCAGTGACGAGGTGGTTGCTCTCGTCGACGAGCGGTCGCATTGCAGTGCCAATCACGACCTGTGAGTGCCGATCTGACTGCGCCGAGACAGCGCCCGACGACGACCACGACGACGACGATCGCGACGACGACGACATTGTTCGCGGGATCAACAAAAGTCTCAGTCGCTCAGTCGCTCAGTCGCTCGCTCGGGGGTTTTTTTTTGTCAAGGCAGTCAACCAAGCCCGTGATCTCGCTCTCTGTGAGATGAAACAAGAACGCGACTTGAAACAAAAAAAAGGCCACCAGTTTGCGAAACCAGGACTGAAGCGGAAGCGGTTTTTCAAGTGAAAAGCCATTGAGAAGCTTGTGGATTCCTAATAATTCTCATTGTATTATTTGTTCATGCGAAAAGTGGGGTGTTCCTTTCTATTGCCTTTGCATTGGGCAATGGAAAAGGCTCAGTCGTTTTTTGTCTTTATCCAATACCAATGACCGAGCTCTTCCGCGAGACAGTGCTTGGCAAGGCATTGATAGACATTCTCAACGAGATGGTCCACGCAGGCGCATTGCAGAGCAAGCTTGCACTCGAGGTCCTCGAGCACTTTGACCAGGTCGTCGAGCATACGCTCAACACGGAAGTCCGCTCCAAGATCAACTTTAAGGTCAATGGGCAACAGACTCGACACAGGAAGGAGGCGAGGGGGGGGGGGTTGACTCGCTGAGGTGCTTTGCTGTCGCTTCATTACGAACGGAGCGAACGGAGCACGAAGCACCCCACAAGGGCGACAAGGGCGGGAGTCTGCAACCAAAATGACTTGGCGCTCACTGCTGCTGCTGCTGCTGCTGCTGCTGCTGCTGCTGCTGCTGCTGCTGGTGGTGGATCCCATCGATCAAGACTCTAGCTCGGATGACCGAAACTGGATTTAGATTGGAGCGTCGGGAAGCACACGCGCGGGGTGGGGGGCGGGAGGCTGAGTGGCTGGCTTGGTGCAATTGCTATTCGTTTTGACGCGTTGAACTCACTTTCCCGAGGCTTGATCCTGTTAATGATGGGCGGGCATGGGAACAGGCACACCTTGAGACATATCGCTATGTCGAAGGACTATGGTTTTTCCATCTCAAGGACTTTTCACAGTTCCGGATTGACAACGAGAACATAACCGATCCCGGAGATGTACAGATTTTGGCGTATGCCAAGCCAGACTTGTCTTAACATTATTCCGTCAAAAGAGCTCGGCAAAAGCCATAGAGAACAGTCTTGCCTATCTTGCTTGATGTGGTCATTTGTTGATTGTGCGGCCCTCGATATCGGCTTCAGCGCTGTTGTTGCTCTGCTGCAGAACTCTTATGTATTATATGCATCTGTTGATGCGCTAGCCCTCCATGCACTTTGAGACGGTCTCAACCTGCTTCGGATCATTCCTGAACATCCTTGGATCTCGAGGGAAGGGGAAGGGGTCTGAGAATCTGCGTCAGGCTGATTCGCACATCAAATCCTTCGATAGCCGGATTCTGATCGATTATGTCACCGATTGTTGTTTCAGCAGTGGAAGCCGAAATCTTGAGCATCGACCCTGCAATAGCTCCTATTGAGAATACAAATTTGGTTGAGTTCACTGGAGAAAGGCGAAGGGTCGGGAAACTGGATTGCCATTGTTGCGACCGTTCCCCCATCACTTCACCTGCAACCACTACTGATTCGAGAAGAATGAAGAAAGTATCCAAGGATCGTGAAGAATGAGGGGAAGACCGATTTGCGTTGAGCCCCACTTCGCAAGAAATGAGAAGAGCTTGAATTTCTGAGCACTCAGTCAGTTTCTCGTACTTTAAGGTCGCACAATCGCTCTTCCATTTCCTTTTAAACCCAAAAATAAATACAAGTGCGTCTGGTGCAAAATCGCAATGGAAGCTGGAAGCTGCGGGGGAGCGAGGCTTGGGATGGAGCTGCAAAAAAAAAAAAAAAAAAAATTGGAAGAGTTGGTTTGGAAAAAAAAAAAAAACAGAGTTTGGCCAAAGTAGTCGCTCGGCCTCTCTTTGTTGTACGTCTTGACACTGACACCAGGCCATCTCGCTCGCCATCACCGCCAACCTTGCGCCAATCCGTTAGGAAACGACCATACCTGTGTGATTGTGCAGTGGGGAGCGACGGATCAATGGAGAATGACAGAGAACGAAGGGGGTGAAGGGGAAGGGGTTGGTGGCGGATTCGGTTTTGGCGGCGGCTCCTCGCTGCTGTTTTGCGTTGCTCCAGCCGCTTTTGTCTCGCCCGTTCGACACACTCTGTTGGCTCCAACGTGCTGTGTATCTGGCTCACGGGTGCCGGTGGGCCGAGGGGCTGCTGCAGAGTGAAGGACGCTTTCGGTCGCGAATGCTGCTTGTTCCCTGTTTTGTTGCTGCCTTCCCCTCTCGCGCACGCCGTGTCTTCCGTGACCTCCAGCTTGCTGCAATGACTTCGGGAGAGCTCCTCACCCACGCTCCTCCCACCCACCACTTTGCTCTCCTCTTCAGGCAGCCATCCCTCTCGATTTTCATCCTCTCACTTTTTTTTTTTTTTTTTTTTTTGTCTGTCCCTTTGCTTCCTTTCCCTTCTCCCACTCAGAACTATGGTCAAGTTCATCAAGCCCGGCAAGGTGGTCATTGTCCTTAACGGTCGCTATGCAGGCCGAAAGGCCATGATCGTCAAGAACTACGACGACGGCGATGAAACCCGCAAGTACGGCCACGCGCTCCTTGCTGGCGTCGACCGCTACCCCCTCAAGATCACCCGCGGCATGGGCCAGAAGCGTATTGAGAAGCGATCGCGCATTAAGCCTTTCGTCAAGCTCGTCAACTACGTCCACCTCATGCCCACCCGCTACGGTCTTGACATTGACTTCAAGGGCGTCCTCAACCGTGAGCACCTCAAGGACCCCCAGTCCCGGCGCAAGGCCCGCGTCGCCGTCAAGAAGACCTTCCAGGAGCGTTACAACGCCGGCAAGAACAAGTGGTTCTTCCAGAAGCTCCGCTTCTAAATGATGTGCCCGAAAACCTTGGCGCTCGAGCCTTTTTTGTGTTTTGTTGCCCATTCAAGACTTGAGTGTTGAGGCTTGTTTTGCTATTGTCGAGAGCGGTGCTTTTTCTCTTGATGTCGTCCCCATTGCTCCGATTGTCATTAAACACGACGATTGATTTTGACGAGTGTCTAGATTTTTTAGGGGTTGTACAGGACTTTTTTTGTTTTGTTTTTTTCGAGCTCTGGGATGATGAATGCACCCGTCTGTGGTTGGGTGATGACGAACAATCACTGCACTTTTTGACGTTGAATCTGCGATGGATGCTTTGCTGCATGAGGCAGTCCTCTTTGTTGTCGATTCAGTCACACTCGTAAGAGGAGCAAACACTCATCGGGAACCCGCTGTCATGCCGCATGATGCCGCGTCGCCCCCAACGACGTCAACGGCAGTGACATCTCCACTCGTGCCCGGTGCATCGCCCTCGTCCTTGGCGTCGTCGGTGCCGTGGCTGGAGCTCTTGCGATCGCCCGTCGTGCTCAAAACTGCTGCCGTTGCATTCGCTGTCGGCGCTGTCGGCACTGCCCTGCTATTACAACTGACTCGCCGTAGGAGATTGCCCTCGGACCCCGCCGCAGCCACAGCCACAGCCACAGCCACGACAGCGGCGGCGGTGACCCAGCCTCTCTTTGATCTGCTGGAGAACGGGAACGGAAGCGCGGCCGCCTCATCCAGCCCTGCTCCTGCTACTCCAAGCCAAGCACATCATCCTCAGCAGCAGCAGCAGCAGCAGCAGCAGCAGCAGCAGCAGCAGCAACAACAACAAGGCTCAGCCCAGCCGTCGCGCGTGAGTGCAGCGCAGACCCAGGCTGAAGGCCAAGACATGCTCGATTTGCTGTACGCGATCGCCGAGGACCAGTCAACACGCAGTAAGTCTGGCGCGATCATATGCACTCGTCCCTATTGTTTTTGCACATTAGACATGCATGGATGGGTGATTTGAGATGTGCCTGGGATCAAGTGCTCAAATCTGCTCAATCCTTCTTCAGATGGTACTTTCCACCACGGCGTGACGTGCAATGCGTGTGGCATGTCGCCAATCACGGGCATACGGTTTAAATGTGCCAACTGCATTGACTTTGACCTGTGTGATACCTGCGAAGCCACGGCCAACCACCACTTGGCACACGTATTCATCAAAATTCGCATCCCCATCCCGCCACTCTCCAACCCACGCGCCGTGATCTTGCCTCAACTATACCCAGGAGGCCGCAAAGAGATTAAGGGCAAACTGAGTTGGAAAGACACGCGATTAATCCAGCAGAGAACGCATTGTAAGTCGATCGTTCCTTCAATTTTTGGTGCAGTTTTGTGCATTTGGGTCCTTTTTCTTTGTCGCACTCACAAACCAGCTGTGTTTGTCACATCGTACGTGACCCTTGTTTGCTGTTGCTGTCAAAAAAAACCGCCTTTTTCGATCGCTGCCTGCAGTTGAAGCCGCTGAAATTGACGTTCTCTTCCAACAATTTCAAGTGCTGTCGACCGTGTACACCGATCAACATGATGGCGGCCTCGATCGTACAGTGTTCCGACAATGCCTTGGCAATGTTGGAGCGTCATCGAACATTTTGATTGAGGCGCTTTTCAACTTTTTCGACGCCAACAACGACGGCGTCATTTCGTTCATCGAGTATGTCGTCGGCCTGTCCATTCTCACAAAGGGCACGCTTCAAGAGCAATTGCCAGGTATGTGTTGCAGTGCGCGTTCTGACAATGTTGATCTGTTGCCCTTTGATGTTGCTTGTCCTATGAGCCAAATTCTCATCGGGACTTGGTTTGCAATCTTACAACATCAACAACTCCTGCCTCGATCCTAGCCATTTTCCGAGGATATGACCCGCAGAACACGGGCTACATCTCACGGGAACAACTCACGAGCGTCCTTCGAGCGCGATTCTTGCTGCACATGGATATGGTGCGCGAGGTGATTCACGGAATCGAAGAAGACGTGTTGCACGACTTTGACGACGAAAACGGCAGCAAGCCGCTCTCTGCCACCTTCACTGCTCCCATCCCGACAAACATGAGTCTTCCAGACTTGGCCCCGCGGCCACCCAATGCTGCCCCCATCGCAATGGCCTCTGCCTCTTCATCCTTGTCCGTCGACATGATTGAACAAATCGAGCGAGCTGCGGCCATGTCCATCAGCGAAGCGCAGTCTGGAGACTATCCGCGGACGCTTCTCTCTTCCAGTAGCAGCGCTTCACGAGCAGACCCCACCGAACCGGCGGTGAGGGAACTCCGGATAATAGATGAACTTGGGCGCCTTGTGCCCATGCAGGAGGTGCAGGAGGAGCAGGAGGAGCAGGAAGAGCAGGAAGAGAACGCAAAAAACCAGCTCGTCCATGAGCGACAGCCTGAATCCTCTATCCTCTACCACAGGCACCATTCCTGCAGCAAGTAGCTCCTTGGGTGCTGAACCGAATGCGCTGGCGGACACCGACGCCGATGTGGAGACCAACACCAGTGCTATCGCCGAAAATGACGCGATAGCCGCTGAAACTCGCTCAATGCCCGAAAGCCACTCTGGTGCAGACACCACCGCTTCCAGCGCGAATGCTGCAGGTGCGGCTGAGGAACTCGCTGGAGCCGGTTTCACCGAAACCAACAACGCTGCTGTGGATGAAGAGCATACTGTGGATGAAGCGCGTTCAGTGTCCGCACCTGAATCGAATGATGTCGAGGCGGTGCATCCCACCTTGAGTGAGCCCCAACCGCCATTGCCGCATTGGTCTGCTCCTGCGTCTGCAATGGACGAGCTGAATTCTGTTCCGCCACCTGCAGAGGGTCCTTCGCTGCGTCAGCTTCTCAGCACCCTCAAACGCGAACGCGCGCTAGCGTCCGCCCGCAACGATTCGGCCAGCTCCCTGCACCTGTTGCATTCTCTCACAACTCAGTCTATTGCAGAGCTCGTAGACTATATCATGAAGCATGCAGACACGGATGGCGACGGCTCCCTGTCCTATGAGGAGTTTGTTGCTTGGACGACGCACGACACGACTCTGCTTGGGTGGTTTGAAGCGTTTGGAGGGGTCTTTTGATGTAGTTATTGATCAATCAAACTTTTATGAGCAAAACAAGCAATCAACACACACACACACACACACACACACACACACACACACACACACACACACACACACACACACACACTGAAAGTTGTTTTGGTAGACACAATATTTTGTTCAAACGAGTAGAAAACATGAACATTAATCTGGCCGCAATGCAAGAGGTTGAATTGCCGAGGGCATGTGCAGGCGCGCAAATTCAGATTGCGATCCAACCGCGAGAATGTGGTTGCCTTTCGAAAAGAACCGCAAGACGCCCTTGTAGGTGCCACGCACACCGAGATCCCACATTTTAAAGCAGCTGCAAATGGCGGCCAGGTTTTTGTCGTCCTTGCTGTCCTTTTGCTTGTACCAAATCGTGTACACATTCCCGCTCACGCCGCTCGGCACATAGTTGTCTTTGCATGGAGTAGCGCCAGGCTCGTGAGAAAGGGGTGTCGCCTTTTGGAGCAAGCGGGCAATCTCGGCGTCGTAATTGCTGGGAAGCAGCTCGGTGATGGGCTGCAAGACCGCATTCGGATCCGTGTTAAAGTTATGGTTGGCAAAGTAGGCGTTGTAAAAGTGGTCGTTGTCCACGTTCAGCCCGCGTCGGCCAAAGTGGAAGGTGCGTGAAACGTCCGGCATGATGCACTGACGGCCTTTGCGCTGGCTGTCCTCCCGCAACCAGAGATCCCAGCTCCAGCCATAGCAGCAGGGCGGCCATTTTGGCATAATTTCATTCCACAGTGCGCGTGACAACATCCAGCCGAGACCTGGGAAAAAGTCCGTGCGGTAGAGCATTGAAGGGTCTTGCGAGACGTGCTTGTAGCCATTGTCGTTCCACGCAGACACACAGAGCACGGTGGGATCCATCTCCATCAGCGGCATCGTGTGTGAAAAGTACGAAAGAAAGTCGGGTGAAACCTCCAGGTCCTCCTCCACAATCAGCGCGTACTTGCTGCGGGGAAAGAGCTCAAAGACGCGCCGCAAGGTCATAAAGTAGTGCGCAGCAATCATGTCGGCGTTCTGAAACGTCTTGGCCATGGTGGATGTGCTTTTGGTCTTCATGTGCGCAACAGCACGCACACCAAACACGTTGCAAAGAGCCATCGGCTCGGGGTTGACGCCGTCCATGAACACGGTGATCATGTCTGGGTTGACGCCCGGCAAGGCTAGAACCGAGGCGAGACTGCGAAGCAAGTACTGGGGTCGATTTCCAGCCACGAGCGCAATCGGGAAGGAGACGGCTGCTTGGGGCTCTCCTGGCGGGGCAGGCACGAGTGCCGGTAGATCGTGTGCTGCACAGAAGAAACAAAGAGACGTGAGTGTCAGGATTCGGACCGATTTTGATCTCGATTCCCGCCCCCCTCCTCCTCCTCTCCCGCTTGTACAGTCCATCAAACAATGGCAACTCACAGCACAGGTCACTGTATCCTTCGTAAGTAGCGCAGAACTGCTCCTTTGTAACGGTCTGATGAGCGGCAAAGTTACCTGCAGAAGGCAAAGGCAAACGATGATTGAGTCACAATGCGAGGCAAAAACAAGAAAGAGAAAAAAACAACACGAGAGGCAAATAGAACCAACTGCGGATCGATACGAGGAGGACTCAAAGAAGCAAATCGCAGACTGCCGACTCACCGTTCAGAGGAACACACTCGTTGACGGTAGTGTCCGCGCCCCACTTGTAGTTCTCGGAAGGGCTCACGGCCTCGTACTTGGTGGCGACGGACAGGCCCTTCTGACCAATGACAACCCACGTCCCTCGGAAGTTGAAGGAGTCGACCTGCGAACTGCCGATGGCATGCGCTGCGCGCCGACCCTCGCTTTTGAATTGGTAGGCGCCGTCGTCCAGGGTCACAATGACCACGAGGCGGCCCAGGTTGACCGAATCGATAAAGTCGACAAAGTCAGTTTCCGGCTCGCTGTACGTGTCAAAGTGACGAATGGCGGTAACGCGACCCGAGTCCTCGTTCATGGTCAGCACGTTCAAGCCGCGATTGGCCTCCCCAGTCGCCTTGATGGCAGCTCGCCCTCCAACGCACACATAGGCAAGATCTTTTCCGGAGCCTGCAGCAATGTGGACTTGTCCCCGAGGGCAGACGTGCGTGCGCTGGCTGCAAAAGTCGTGGTCGGCCGAAGTCATTCGTCCCGCGAGGACGGATAACCCGTAGTCATCGCCCGGCACGGCTGGGCCACCGACGAATCCTTCTGGTTTTATTCGTTGGACTGGGTTTTCCGCTGGAGGCTGTTCTGGCGTGAAGTTGTTCCCTGTCAATCAAAGCAAGAGAACAAGTGTATGATAAGTGCTTCCCGGCAACCACGTCGACATCAATCCAACACAAACCCCCAAATCACATTTGTTGAATCGACCACTGTGACTGCACACTGCGCAGTGCTCAAAATGCGAACGTACGCGGCGGAATGACAGGTTTCTTGTGCGATGGCTCGTTCACGCCCAGATCTGCAGTATTTGCGTTCGTCAAAACAGAAAGAACCCCCATACTCGTCAGCAAAGCTTTGTGCTACGAATAAGAGTAGCACTTGCATCAAAGACCGGTGCGTGCGTATCGGGAGTGGAGCTCTCTTACGGCGATCGACGCGGCCGTTGTGCAGCGCGTCGCGGTGGCCTGGCTCGCCGTCGATGGGCAGTTGTCCTGCGCCGCCAGCATTGACTGGAGTGCGGAAGACGACGAAAAAGTAGACGTTGACAAAGACCATCGTCAGGACGAAGAGCCCGAGCAGGACTGTGTGCGAGCCATCCGAGCCGGACGCAGCAGCAGGCGACGTGAAGCTTCGGTGATGGTGATGCCCGCCGTGTCTCCGAGGCGCAGGCATCTATTTGGTCGTGATTTGTGTATGTGCTGCGATTGGGTGGATGATGGGCCAAAAGTGAGAGTTGTGTGGAGACCTGCAAAGTGGATGATGTTCGAAAACGGCTTAAGGAATGAAGAGGAGTGACTCAGACTCGAAAGTGCAGGATAGCGGTATGAACAAATCTCAGACAACGAAGAGACAAACAAACAAAAAAACGAGTACAGTAGTGAGCGATGGGCTGTTTGTCAATTTGTCAATGGGATGAATAGAAGAGCATCAATGCCTTGAGACGACAGTTCTCAGTTCTGTAGCGTCGGTCTGCCTCAGCTAAATAGCACAATACAAAATCACTCCTTTTTGATTCTTGTTTTCTGCTGCTTTTGATTTCTGAGCTTTTTTTTTTGCTTTCTCAGCAGCTCCAAAACAATGCGATACGGACGCTCTTCGAATCACAGGCACCACGACGATGCTCAGCATGGAAGCCCGAGCTCGCAGCACTTTGGAGTAGTCCCAGCGTCGCCAAGAATCATGCCGTACTCGCCGCCGCTGGTGCAGCAGCTGCACACCAACGCGAGCCAAGCCTTGTCGCCGCAGCAGCATCAGCATCAGCAGCAGCATCGGCAACAGCATCAGCAGCAACAGCGCATGGAACGCCGCCGAGATCAGCTGCAGCCGTCCGTCTTGGACGCGGTCGCCCTGCTGCTCCCTCCGCCGCACTCTCCGCAACAACATCAACATCAGCAGCATCAACAGCACCAACATCATCATCAGCAGCTAGAGCTCCAGCAGCTGCAGCACCAGCGGGAGCGTCGCAGCCGCAGAGGATCGCCGTCGCAGCAGCTCGTCGTTCCCGCCACGCCGAGCCCAACCCGCGAGCCGTGCCGACGTCCGCCCGCACCCTCGCCACTCGTTGCAGTCGGCTCGTACGGCCTAGAACGCAACACGCGGCGGACGCCAATGTCGCGTGGAGATGCACTGGACGGACGCCGACATTCTGCCGCGGCGTTCATCTTGAGCTCGTTTCCCGCGTACGCCGCAGCCAGAGCGCGCACCCACGGTGGCGTGCTCGGCAGCAGTGCAAGCGGCAGAGATGCTGCGCGGCTTGGTCTGTTTGAAGCACGGGCGGGCAGCGCCGCCGCCAGTCTCACTGCTGCGCTGGATCCGGCTCAAGCAGGCGAAATGGCGGGAATGGCGGGAATGGCGGGAATCGCGCGAGTTGCTTCAGCACCCGCGGTCTCCCAGCCCCCGACGGCGGTGTCATCCGTAGCAGCGCAGAACGACATCCAACGCATGGGAGCAGCCGCAGGCTTGGGACTGTGCTGCAGCCAGAGCGAGCCGCAGCTTGTGCCGAGCACGCCCGTTCTGAGTCGATCAGGTAAACGAAAACTCAGCACCCTGTCGTGCTTGCCTCAATTGTCTTCAAGGAAGAGGAAGGGTGGATTTGCTGAAACGGATTGAAGTCGGTTGCTTGTGGCTGTACCATGCATTTGCTCAACCCTATCAATGCACACAACAGACTGCCAGCAAGTGCCCGTCGGACCCACTGTGACCAGCCCATTCGATCTATTTGCAGCAAGCCAATAGTCGATCATGCCAGTCCTTTCTACTCCGATGTAGAACCGACCACATTTGTGTGTGCAGTCCATCCAATCGTCGTTTTTCATGTGCTCTCCATGCTTCATCTCCCTAACCCTAACCCCCCCCCGTCCCTGTATGCGATTGTCCATTTGTCTTGCACTGGCATCCAAACACGCTGTATGTCTGTATTGTTAGCTGGAGGCTTTGGTACTGCATCAAGCACAAAAGCCTTTCACTGCCTGTCTTGTAGCGTTTTAGCTGTACTTGTTATTGTTTGAAATCTTATTCTCTCCACCTCACTGGACCCCTCTTGTCAAGGCACCCAAAATGCACGAGAAATCCACTACCAGTTGAGCCAATTCAGCTTTTAATGCCCGCCACCATTCACATAACGCCAAAGAACTCAGTTGAGGCGCAACCGCCGTTTTGCCCCTCTTTGCCTTCATCCTTCTTCCACTCTTGTCGCTTTGTAGCTTTTTTTTTCGTAATCCTCCTTCATTCATCCCCTTCATGTTGGCGCTTATCTGCATCTATTCAACAACACTCACGCCATTGCTTGTTCCTTCGTTTGTTCCACCTTTCGTTTCCCCTTCGTTCGTCCCTTCCCTCTCCACTCTGAACCCCCAACTCACACAAGTTCCCAACCTCCAATCATTCCGATCACTATTCATTTTTCATCCAATACTTTTTGATTCCTTTAAACACAATCATTCATCATTTTCAATTCAACAAGGTTTCGAGAATCTTCTTCATTTCCATTGAGTTTTTGCATTGAGTTTCCATTGAGTTTTTGTATTGAGTTTCCATTGAGTTTGGACGATCGCACCCATTGTTCAGTCATCTTTCTCTCTCTCTCTCTCTCTCTCTCTCTCTTTCTCCTTCTCTCTCTTTCTCTCTCATTGACTTGTGAGTGACTTGAGCCGAGGCTTGCGTGAGCTGTGGCTATTTCTACAAGGCGATGACGCGTTTACTCTCCTTTGCTCTCAACCACCACCACCACCACCACCTCCTCCTCCTCCTTCCATTGACTCACTTCACTTCAACGAGCTACAGAGTTCTGAGGGGGGGGGTTGTTGACCGCATTGAAGCAGTCAGTCGTCGCTTCACTTTGCTTTCCTATTCGCTCCCCCTCTCTCCCTCTCCCCCCCCCCTCTCTCTCTCCCTCTCCCAATTGCACTCTCTCTCACACTCCAGCTCTTCTGACGTTTTGAATGTACTTTTGGTCTGTGCTTCCACAGAAGGGCTCGCTTCTTCCCAACCGGGCTCCCCCTTCCTCTACCCTTCCTGCCCTCCCTTCTTTCCGCAAAGTCACAATGATGTCCCGCGCGTTCGGTAGCAGCTCGGCGCGGTTCTCGGACAACTTTCGGTGTTTCCCGGTCGCAATGCTCGCGGCCAAGTCCGTCTCGATGACCCAGGAACTCGAAACGGGCGGCAAAATCATTCTGCCTCCGTCAGCACTCGATCGCCTGACGCGCCTCAACATCTCATACCCCATGCTGTTTGAGATCTCAGAGTACGACGAAGTTCTGTCCAGAGACCACCCCGACGCGCCCGCAGTGGGCAAAGTCACGCATGCCGGCGTGCTCGAATTCATCGCCGAGCCGGGCCGCGTCTACATGCCATACTGGGTGAGCACCGAACGCCCTTTGTTTTGTTTTGTTGTTTTGTTTCGTTGGTTGCAATGCAGCGCACGAAGCTGTCGATTGTGAATGATGAGTACGCGCGCGGGAGGTCGCTGACTTGAACTTTTTTTTCGGTCTCTATCTGCTATTGTTTAGCTGATGACCAACCTCGGCATCTCGGAAGGCTCCCTTGTGCGCATCCGGTCGGCCACCCTCGACCCATGCTCATACACCAAGTTCCAGTGGCAGGACGCCGAATTCATGGAGATTTCCAATCCCAAAGCCGTGTATGTGCAGTCGAAGCGCATCTTTTTGGTGTTGGTCGTATTTTGATTTGCTTTCGTTTTTCGTCGCTCACATGCGTTCTTGCTGTCATAACTACCCAATCCCCAAACCCTCGCTCCACAGCCTCGAAAAGACGCTGCGAAAGTTTGCCTGCTTGACACTCGGCGACACGATCGCCATGCACTACAACAACAAGATTTACGAACTGCGCGTCACAGATCTCAAGCCCAAGTCTGCCGTGTCCATCATTGAGTGCGACATGCAAGTGGACTTTGAAGCTCCGCCACACTACGTCGAACCTGATTACAAGGCCCAGTCTGCAGCAGCCAAGCAAGTAGCCGAGAATCAAGTTCTTCAGCGTGCGTCGTTGAGTCAGTCTCCCGCTGGACAGACGATGCTCTCCTTGCCGGAAGAAGAGTTTTCGGCGCGTTTCAAGGCGTTCTCAGGGTCTGGTGCTCGACTTGACGGCAAGCAACGAAACTCGCCCTTGTCTTCGTCCCCTGGTCTCGGCTTTGGCGCTGGCTCCTCTCCCTCTCGCGCCACTCCCGTCTCACGGAACAGTGCCATGTCTCCTGGCGGCACTGGCGCTTCTACCCCTGTCCCAGATACCCCTCCAAGCGCACCCACAGGGTACGGTGTTTGGCCATCTTAGTCTGGGTTTTTTGTTGTTTTGTTTTTTGTTGTTTTGTTTTTGCGCTTGGTGTGGTTGGCTCACTCTCCGCTGCTCTGCTCTGATTTGGCTTTGCATCCGCCTTCAGAATTGTTTGGAAAAAGAACCGAATTACGTTTGTTCGAGTCGTGCCTTCTCCAGTCGCGGGCGCCGCTCCTGCTGCCAACGCCAACGGCGCTGCCGTTGCGACAGGACCTCAGTTTGCTGCCTTTGGAGGAAAAGGGAATACCTTGCGGAAAAACTAACCTTTCGTTTTTCGTGTGCAACGCATCGAGCACATTGACGTTCATTCATTGTTTTTGTCAGAATGGATACGGTATTTTCAAGTTTTTCAAATTCAACAGAATACAGAGCCCCAAAAAGAAAAAAAAAATACAAAGCCACACGGAACACACCAACAGAAATACCACAAGAGAAAACAAAAAAGAAAAACAGCACGACCAAACACCCCCCCTTTAATTGTCCAGGTAGGTCAGCTCTTGCTCGCTAAAATAGCGGGGCATTAAAACACGTCGAAGGGGCACAAGCAGGACGACAAGCAAGGGGAAGACAAGCGCAGCAGGAGAATAGTTGATGCCGGCCAGAACTCCAAGCGCGACAAACTGAATCAGCGTAAAGACATGCATCTTGCGCGTAGGCACGTGCACGACATACGGCTCGTTGGAGTGCTGGGATGCTGGAGTGAACAAGAGCGCAGCACGCTTGATCATTTGGACGTTGAACATGGCAGAGAAACCCATGTAGAGGAACACACCATAGAGCACGGGCATGGGGATGAGGCGTAGCACGGACGCCAGCAGAATGGACATGGGGACGAGCGCGTGAATCAAAATGCCGGAAACACGCGTTTCGATAATGTGCTCCACCTTCGGTGCTTCGCCGGGCGCCGTGTACTTTGTGTACACGGACAATGCGTTGGTGTGCGAGATGCAGCGGACGGCTGCGGCGACAATCCAAGGCAAACCCAGGAGCGAGCAGATGAGCACCATGATGCCCATGACGAGCAGGTCGAGGTGGTAGCCGGTGGGCTTGACAATTTTGAAGCGATTCGTAATGCAGGCGGCGATCTGTTGCTCCAGGCACATGAGAAGCGTCACAAAGACGGCGGGAATGATGGCCGCGACCGGAATGTAGGAAGGGAGGTCCTTTTCCATGCCAAGGGGGTTGACCACCCACCCACGTGTAAAGTTGCCGCACTCGACAGGCAGAGGGTCCTGGCCGCAGGTTGGCGAAATGCTGCTGGGGATGTCCAGGTAGGACGTGTTCACAGACTTGAACCAAATGTTGTCGACGCACACCATTACAAAGATGGAAATCAGAATGCCAAAGTTGGCAATCATGCCACGGGAGCCGGGGGTCAGGAAGCGCGACTTGCCGAACGCGCGCAGCGTCAGGCCGACAGCAGCGGTGCACACCATAAAGATGGTGGCTACAACTGCGACATTGGCATTTTCAGCAGTGAAGGAGTCGACGGGGAAGTTTTTGTAAATCTTGGCAAGGTACTGCAGTGCATAAACAATGTAGATGAGCGCGACGAGAATGCCGAAAATCTCCTCGGTAAACCGCGTGACATAGACGACAATGTAGGATGCGTCCGTGGCCACCAAAATGACGCAGAGAACGAAAACCCAAAAGCCAATCCAAAACCGGAAGGGAAGGAACTCGAGGTCGTTGTCTTGCGAGAACTTGTAGATGAGCTCCGTTATAATCAGCGACGGACCCGTGCCGCCGAGAATCATCAGGGGCTGGCCAGAGAACAAGGCAAAGAAAATGCCGCAGCCGCCAGTCGCGACCACCATCTCCAGCGCGCCAATCTGGTTGCCCGTCTTTTCGCCCATGATGGCGCCAAAGGTCAGGGCGGCGGCGTAGCACACGAAAAAGATAAAGCCAACGGCGGCCAGTGTTTGAAAGTTCAATCCATCCACGAAATCGCTCTTATAGTACGGGAGACGGTTGCGCACGTCGTTGATGAGGCCGCCAAAGATGCGGCCAGAGCGCTTTAGTTGCGCTTTGGCCAAAGGCCGGGCCTGGAGCGTACCCATGACTGGAGCGGTGGTTTGGGAGTTGTTTGACAGAGACGACTCGTACGTCGCGCGTGGCGGGCCAATGATAATCTTCCGGTCCCACTCGCCAGGAATCATGGTGCCGCGACGCATAAAGTTGTCCAGATGCTCAATCACCGGCTCGCGCTCGTGCGCGGCGTGGAGGACTTCGAGCGACTCTGGATCCGAAAAGACGGCACCCATGGTGCGGCCAATCTGGATGAGATCGGCATGGCGGTGCGAAGGGCCCATCACAATGAACAAGAAGCGCACGCCGAGCGGCGCGCGGGTAAAGTCTCCGAGCGAGACGCCTTGGAAGAAGCGCACAAACGCGGTGACGGTGTGGGTCAGGAACTCGTTGCTGTACACGAGAATGTGGGCCGCCTCGAGCGACACGGCACGCGTGTTTCCGTCTGCGCGGTTGCGCGAGTTGAACGCAGAGCGAGGCCCTGGGGACGCCAAGGTGCCCGCCTCCATATCTTCCAAGCGCAGGCTGGTTCGGCGCTGACGCCGCTTGAAGGCCTCGTAAAAGTGCGACTTGCGGCCCTTGGAAGTCGAGTTGAGGTGCTCAATCCAGTCCAGCAGCTGCTTGTTAATGTCTTTGTGCTGTTGGCTGTGAGGCAGAGCAAGGGCTTCGCTGATGGCCTGGTTTTGCTCGTCGTCCAGGCGATAGTCGAGCGCGATCGAGTCGACAACCACCTCCACAATGTCCTGCAGGTTTTTGGCGGGGATGTCAAACAGCATTGTGCCAGTCATCAGACCCGCACGGAGCTCAAACAAGGAGCGAATCGAGACGACCGAGAGGTGGAGCTTGCCCCACTTGTCACCTTGGTCGTCAATCAACTGCTCGTACCGCAACCAGCGCGCCTTCTGCGCCCACTCGGCCGAGTCGTGCCTGAGCTCCTCCATTTCGACATAGAGCTTGGAGCGAGAAGGCTCCTCGCCACCGTTCTGCCCCTGGTTGGGGTCTGCCAGCATGTCGTCCGCCTCGAGAATTTCGTCGGGCATGGTTGAGTCGACTCCGGCCAAGCGAGGCGAAATCGGACCGCGACCTGCGGGCGACGCGCTTTGCTGGCGGTGCAAGCGAGCAATGCGTGCAAATGCAGACGACGGAGGGAGAGTGGAGGAGAACCCCGAAGCGACTGCAGGGCTGCTGTTCAACCGCGAGAGCGTCGATGACGGCTGGCCTTGGTCGCTCGACTGCGATGCAAAGACGCCTGCACCCGAGACACGGGCGTCGTTTCCAGCACCGCTACCACCACCACCACTGCTGATGAATGGAGACATGTCTGGTGCGTACTGCGACTGCGACTGGGACTGGGACTGCGACGCAATGTTTTGACCAGCGGCCCGTGCGGCGGCATCATCGTCGAGGTCCATTGCGAGATTGAGCGCGAGCTCGTCTTGGCTGTGCTGCATTGGAGCAGACACGTTCGACAGTCCTCGCGATGGCGTTACTGGCCGCGTGTGAGTGCGCGACGACGCAGTGCGGTCCACGTAATAGGGATTGACAGCGTCGTTCCCAGGCGCGAGCACGGCGTTTGTCGGGAAGGGCGCGAGGCCCGCACTGGCACTTGCACCAGCAGCACTCGCACTCGAACTTGCGCCAGATGCAGCATGGAACGGGAAGGCGGTCGTCGTCGTAGCAGCTGAGCCGAGTCCAGGCGTCGTAGCGGTAGAGCTGGATTGGCCTCCTCGCTGCTGCTGCTGCTGCGATGATCGGGTTGCAGCAGAAGCCAGCAGCCCGTCCTCCGATGTGACGCTGACGGACGCTGAAGCAGGGACTCCGCCCATTCCAGCGGACGCGGGTGCTCCTGTCGCATCGAACGGGTCGCGGTGGACGACGCTGCCTGCTCTGGACTGCAGCCTGGGCGTCGTTGCGCCTTCGCTCAGCTGCATTGGCTCTGCTCCCCATTCAATCCAATCCAGTCAGTCATTCATTCAGTCATTCAGTCACTCATTGCTTTTGTTCATCTTTGATTTTGTTCGCTTTTCGAGTGCGTGTCGAAATGAGTGGGAAAACAAAAAACGAACACTTCGACATTGTCATTCCTTCTGAGCGGATTGAAAGCGGCTGAAAGCGGGGCATTCATAGGGAGGGGAAGTTGATGATGATGGGAGGTTGATATGATGGGGGGAGTTGATCGTGCTTTGTGTCTTGTAAGATAAACAAGAGAGCGGTTGTGCGTACCAACATCGTCGAGCGCGTCGTCGTCCAAGTCGTCGTGGAAGCGCCGAAAGCTCATCGCAGAGAAAACGGAAAAAAAAAAAAAAAAAAAAAAAAAAAATGAATGACGACATGTTGGAATGATCGAAAAGAAAAAAAAAAAAAAAGTCGTTTGGGAAAAAAAAAAATTCGTAAAAACCGCCCGCTATCATGATGCTTGAATGGTGCGCGACCTCTTTTTGTTTGTTCTTCTTTCGACAACAACGGCTTTTTTTTGGGGGGGGGGGAAAGGTGCGATGCCGATAGGATGGGAGGTTTCTGATGCAAAACCAAACAAAAAAAAGCATGGAGAGCGTTGTACTGTTTCAAGAAATGCATTTATTCGAGCTGCACAGCCATGGCATATCAATCGATGCTCAGATCTCAGAGATACCGGCCAATAAAGGCCATGATGCCGGCGCCCACCCACATCGCAACAAACAGCGCAACGCGCCGTGCTCGAGAGGAGGCAGCGGCAAAATCACGAGGAAACTCGATCGCCAGCATTTGTGAAAAGCCGACGTACAACAGGATGCCGGCGCTCACGGCATCAAAGGTGCCCTGCACGAGGTTGGTCGTGACGCCGTTCTCATTGTAAGAGTTGACAATCCCGATGCCGATGGCGATACCAACTGGTGCCGACACCGAGTAAATGAACGCAAGCAGAAACTCGTTCAGTTTGGAAAAGTTGCACTCGACCAGCCGTGCACCAAGCGCAATGCCCTCGAAAAACTGGTGGAAGACAAGCGCGGGAATCAGCGTCTCCAAGTCGGTGACGGACGAGACACCGACGGTCAAGCCGATGATGACGGAATGCGCAGTCAACCCAAACTCGAGCACGTAAGCGGCAATCGTGCGTTCCGCCGAAGTGATACCGAGTAAAGCGCCGTGACTGTGGCCATGAGCGAACGCCAGTGAATCGGTCGTTGGAGTAGTACTCTGTCCAGACTCGGGATCGCAGCAGTCCGAGGAGGTGAATTGGGCCATGCTCGGCGACTGAGAGGTTTCAGACTTGAGCTCAGCCTTTGGGGCGTGCATGGCAGCAAGCGTTTCAAACACGTGCATCACGAGCGCACCCAGCATTGCAAACAGCGGTGCGAATGTGTAGTCCTCTGCGAAAGCGGCTGGCAAGCACGGGTTGCCAAGTTCCTCATAGGCGGGACTGAGCAGATGGATCAACGCCAGTGCAATGATAACGCCAGTGCCGACATGCTTGCCAATGGTGAACACAAACGGGCTTCGGAAGCAAATCCAAGTGGGATTGCGCTTGGCTAGGATTGGCAAAAGTGTGCCCATCATGCTTGTCACCAGGATGATAAAGAAGGCAGCAATGTTGTACCGTTGGTCGTAGTCGTCGACCGCCTCGAACAAGCACTCGTCAGTCTCGTTGGACATTTGTAACACTGGATGGATTTCGGTTTCTTTGGCTGTGCAAAACTTTGCCTTGAAAACCTTTTCGATGCTTTTTGGGGGGGGGGGGAGAAGCGTTTTGACATGCAACCAAACAACAGACAAAAGGCAGTACACATGTGAGGGGTCGTCATCACAGAGCGCAAGCTACGTTGAGCCTTGTTGGTTGCGGCTTGTGGTTCAATGTGGGATTTGGTGTTTGGATGAATTTGGCGAAGCAACTTACAGGGATGATTCTCGACCCGTTCAAGCCACAGAGAAACGACCAAGAGCTGCTGATGATAAAGCAGCAGAAAAGTCAAAGTAAAAGTAGAGTGAGCGGGTCAAATCGAGGTTGGGCTTTTATACTGTCGAGCCAGCGAGGCGTTTGTTTGGAAACATGTTCCCATTGGAGGTGCCGGTTTTCCCATGGATCGATTTGCTAATGGAGCACGTGGTAGGCCTGGCCCCTCCCCTCTTTGTCGATCATTGTATTTGTGTACTGACGGCCTTGGCGGTTGCTGCCTGGCATTGACATCCAAAAGTCAGCGGCGAGGAGGAAGGAGAAACGCGCGTGCAAGCAAGAAAACAACACCAACGACACTATCGTGTCCAATTTAACTGTGATGGAAGGAAGCAAGCAAGCGGTGGTTATTACATGGCGAAGATGCGTGGGCGTGGGAAGACGGGTGGGAGGGTCAGCCTGAGCAGCTCGATTTGAAAGGATTTTGTCGTGGCTCTCCCTCTCTCCCCCCTCGACCCCATCCTTCTCCTCCCACTGCCATTGCATTCGTACAACCGAGGAAATTACGTTCGTACAAAGTGATTGAACAGAAAGTCATGTGCGACAGCGAACAAGGCCGCTGCATGTGAATCTCGTTTCGTCCAATCACAACGCGTCCCAAAACGAGCAAGTTTGAAATCAACGCCGCTCGACTGGCGACAAATCGCATTCATTTCTCAAGGAGGCCCAGCTTAGTAGATTGAAGCTTCACCGAATCAGAATCTCGCGCGAACTGACGCGCTCGCTCGGCTCGATGAAAAGGCCGGCGCAGCACACTGACGCGTTTGCTCAGTCTTCCTTCTTGTTCCAACGGTCGAAATCGGTACACTCGGACACCCGCGCGAAACCAACAATGCCAGTGGATGACAAGGAGCTGGATCACATCGAACGCATCAACAGGATGATGCGCGCGTCACTGCCTCTCGTCAGTCAGCTCGAGACTGAACTCAGGGTGCTTCCGGCACCCGACTCTGAACCGAAGAAATCCGCAATTGCAACACCGAGCGTACCAGCGTCGCAGCCCAAAGCAGCAAGCGCAACTACGGTACTTGCATCGAGCAATCAGAATCAAAAGTTGCCATCGCAGCCACCATTTGTTCGGCCAGCACAGCCTGCCGTATTTGTCAAGCAGGAGGACATGCAACGCGTTCTGTCCGCTCACATCCAAAAGCATGCGCACGAGCTGGATGAAAATGGCCTTTGCCCGTGCTGCTCTGCTCGCCACAAGCGTTTGGACAATGCTCGTCGCAGGCTCTATCTTCGCCAATGCAAGAAGAACAACAAACCGGCAACACAACCAGAACAGCTCGACTCGCAGCAGCACGGTACGGAAGATGTGGATGCTTTGATGGCATTCATCAACAATGACAAGACGTGCAGGGCTACCTCGATGTCTCATCGTGCCAATGGAGCGCCGGCTTCCACGAGGACTGTCAAAGCGTAGATCGAGCGTAAAGGTTTGGTTTGCTCGCGTGCTTGCTCATGTAGTCAAGATTGTACATAAAAACGATTGGAACAAGAAGCCATGTAAGTGCAGTTTACAGCTGTCGGAGACAATCACGTTGCAAGAGTCGAGATGTGGGGTGTGCGGCGATCACTCGGTGTCGCAGCACTCTGACACCACAAGCAGATCATCGGCGCTACGGTTCTCGGGGGCTTTGGTGCTACTTTGCACTCTTGTATACATGATTGCTCGGTCGTGATTGCCTCTGATCTTGAAGTGCATCGCTAGTCAGGAGAATGCTCAGATAGTCTGAACAAGGCGTCAAGCGACCGACCCTCGCATGTACAAACGACTGAAACGTCGAAGAAGAGACTTGTCCAGTTTCGAGATAGTGCGCATCGTGAGCGAGGGTGAGGGGGGGGGGATCGTCATCACTCACACTGTTTTGCTGTGCTCAAACTTGAACGTTCGAACTCGTGAAAGACCGTCTCCTGAGCCAGCAACGATCGTTCGTTGCACTTCTAAACCCACAAGACGGGATTGTTACAATGGATGCCCGCATGTATTCCTGAGCCATTCAGTCTGGTTGTTTACTTTGCTCCTGAGCCATTCAGTGTTCTTTGTTTGTGCTTTCGTATTGAATCCGGGTCAGTTCTCTTTTGTTTTTCCCTCTCCACATGGTTCCCATTCACCTGCCAGTCGGCATGAGAATGACTGCGCTTTTTCTGCTGCTGGTCGCTGCAATGATCTGCGCTGCGGACTCTGCATCGACTGGGAACAAGCGTAAGCATCCAGATCAATGATCACTCAGACTTCAATCATCCCTACTCCGCTCGCCCTTCCCCCGCCACGCTCCACAGCGCCCCCCCCCCTTCCCATTTGCCCTATGTGGCCTTCACTATGCTTTCTGTACTGCCACGATGGGTGAGAAGCGGTGCTATGCAGAACTGAGTCATCAGAGGCTGTCGGCGATCTTCAAAAAAACGGCTCAGGAACAGAGATGTTATTGTTTGTTCTATTCTGATTCTTGTTCTTTCCGCACCCGCCCCCCCCCCACGCGCCGTCCTCCCGCTTCAAATGGGAGCTTGACCCACTACCGCACAGCCAATTGGCAACAAAAACACAATGTGCCCGACAACAAACCAATTTCTGAAACCCGTCATGACTCATCCACTGAGCGACTCATCTCAACAACAGGTCGTCTCTCGCACGATGTCCTCCACTATGAACCGCTTTCGCTCGGCAACGCCGTTATGGCAAGTCACCAGAGCCGCTCGCGTCGATCTGCCGCAGACTCGCCCGATGCCGTGATTCCGCTCGAATTTGAAGCTTATGGGCGGTAGGTTGCATCGAAATGCCTCGATCGCATGGCATTGCCACACCAAATGCAAACCACTCACTTGTGCATGTTGTGCATGGATTGACAAAACCCAGCGCCTTCCGTGTCAAGCTGCAACCCAACACGGAACTCGTCCGCCCCACGGCTCGAGTCACTGTGCACTCTGAAGATGGCACGCAGGAGATGCCGATTGACTTGTCGATTGTGTTCAAGGGTTCTATTGAAGGTGAGACTTCCGACATGCAATGCCGCAGTGTCGCAAACAGTCGCCCAAACTACAAGTTGTGGACTCATTCTCTATACGATTCCCTCTCCGTGCCACAGGCCAAACCAACTCTGCGGTATACGCCACAGTTGTCGAGTCGGGCGACGTTGTTGCAACTCTGCGTGATACGGAGGGCGAAATGTACTACATCGAGCCCAGCCATCGCTACTTGCGTGAAGAAGCCCACGACTTTGACCATGTCATCTACCGTCTCTCAGATGCCGATTTGTCCGCCTTCGACCTTGCGTCCGAGGCAAAAGCAATGCGCAAACTCGAAGAGCGCATGATGAGCACTGGGCAGCCAGCTCGTGAACAGCGCGATCAGGCCACAACGTCGAAGCCGCGCTCCTTCCACGAAGCAGCAGGCCTCCGTCCCGCAAAGATGCGACGCACTGTTGGTCCAGCAATGTACTGCGGGCTGCATGTCGTTGCCGACGTCGACTTTTACAACGAGTACAAGGGCAGCCCGGCGTCCATCGCTCGTGTCACGACCAAAATCCTGAACTTGTTCAACGCTGAGCAGGCAATCTACAACAACCCACAGAATCAACTGATCGATCCCAACATCGTCAACTTTGGGGGCTTCCAGATCGAGCAGTTTACAGTGTACAAGGCTGCTACAGGCGTATTTGCAAACACACCCGCAGACGAATCAGATGAAGATTACCTGGCTCGCTTTAGCAAGATCGATTTGAGCAATCATTGTTTGGGAACACTGTTCACACATCGCGACTTTTCCGGGACGATTGGACTTGCGTACATGGCGGACCCGAAGGCAGCCGGCGGTATGGGCTGGCCACGTACAGAAGAAGGTTTGAGTCAGAACTCTGCATGGGTTACCACTGTGAGTTATGGAAATGCTATGAGTGCTGCAGTTTCGCAGATAACTCTTGCACACGAGCACGCACACAACCTCGGCTCGGATCATGATGAGTCCGCTGATTGCATTCCAGGCAATCTCGACGACAACTATATCATGTACCCGGTAGCATCGGCCGGTGACAAGGCGAACAACTGGTTATTCTCCTCATGCTCCAAAAAATCAATCAGTATCGTATTGGCTGAACGCTCTTCTGTCTTGAAGGTCAAGTCGCCAACATGCGGAAATCGTATCGTTGAAGCAGGCGAGCAGTGCGACTGTGGCTCCCTCAGTGTTTCCGAGTGTCAGGCTTACGATCCGTGCTGCAACCCTGGTTGCACACTGAAGAGCGGCGCGATGTGCTCAACCTTTGCGACACCATGCTGCACCGCGAGCTGCGTCAACCCTGGACGTTCTGACATCGTCTGCAGTGTCTCGGTCGATGGCTGCAAGACGGACGGAGTTTGTGACATCAACGTCCCCAACGGCTGTGGTGTGCAATACAATCGTGCTGCAGGCACCCAATGTGACTGCAAGGAGGATGGCACCAATTGCAACGGCCTGTGCTCTTCGTCAGGCGTATGCTCCCGGTCGCGCTGCGAACCACGCTTAGGATACAATGGTGAAGAGTGTATCAGTTCCGACCCAAAGGACTCGTGCACGCTTTACTGCTTGAACGCGGCTGGTACCGAATGCGTCAAGTTCACCGATGGTACCACGGCTACTCCGGTCTATCGGTCCCCGAACGATGTGTGCTACCTTCCCCAGGAGGTGCTTGGTTACTGCGACGGCTCCGGACACTGCCGCAAGGCAAACACGGACGATACGCCAGACCCCGAGAGCAACAGTGGCCCCAATGTTGGGGCTATCGTCGGTGGTGTCTTGGGCGGCCTTGCCTCGGTGGTCACCGTCATTGTTGCGATTGTGGTCTGCCGTCGCAAGAAGGCGTCGAGGGCGTCTTCCAGGAGCGAGGACGAATATGAGATGTTTGAGTAGAAGTAGCGTATGTCTCTGTGTGCGAAACGTGTGTGCTTGCTCTGGTCTGGAACAGCTTGTTGTGACTGCTTTGTTGGTCGAGACGTTTGAACAAAATAGCAACCAGATCAAAAAAAAGCAGCAGCACCATTGTTACAAAGCAGACAAAATCGTCGAGCATTCGGCATCTCTTTGTAATTGACAGACCAAACTCAAGGGGAGAGCTGGCGCGATTGGAACTGGCCCTCGTCGTACAGCTGCGCGCGCACTTGTCGCCCACCAAACCACCGATTGTTGAGCGCGAGCACTGCTGCATCAGCCTCTGTTCATCACAATACAAGAACGGGGTCGGGTGAGAGAACTGCTGAGCGACGAAAGAAGATTACCACCCCCTGCTCTACTTTTGGCGCCATCTCCGCTCGCGTACCTTCCAGTTGCGCAAACTGCACAAATATCGCCACGTCATTCTTGGAAGTGACATGCACCACCACACGTTCGACAGTGCCAAAGTTGGAGCATTCGCCACCAACTTCCTGCTCCAGCATGCTGTCAATCTCGTCTGCGTCGATCATGTTGAGCAGTGCGACAATGTGAGAGCTCTGTATCGAGGAAGGGGAGTACAGGGTACAGAAAACCATTTGAACAGTGAGTGAGTGACCAGAACCAATCACAAAGGACTCAAACAACAACACCAGCTGCATCTCACCGTCGTGCCACGCGCTAGTTTTTGCATCAACGCATAGACCTGATTGCCCTTGATGGATACATTCTCCTCGTCGCGAAGCGAAGCGCTGGACGCTTGCGTTTCCGACTGGAGTCTTCGCAGTTTGTCTTGCATGTCCTCGCCACTGGATGCTGGTGCCTGTGCATTGGTTGTTGGTGCTGCTGCTGCTGCTGCTGCTGCTGTGCTTTCTTGTCGAGCAGCAGTAATGCGCGCCGCTGCTGCTGCTGCTGCCTGCGCCGCAGCTGAAGCCAGTACGCCTATGACAGAATTGTTGCGCAAAGGTGGATCGGGTGAGACAAGAGTGCAAGACAAGTCCAAGCCTTCACTCGCAGAGCTGCAGATTGCAGCATTTCAGTCCAACCCAACAGCAACAAACAAAAAGAACAAACACCCAAGCAAGACCACCAAAAACACCAACTCACCATCATTGGCAGTCCGCCCAGCCAGCACGTTCGTTACTTGCGCAGATTGTGCAGTCGTCAGGCCTTGGATGTTGGACGGCGAGTGAGCGCCCTTGACAACGTGCAACAGCAAGCCGCCCAAATCCAGTCGGTTGAGCGCTGCGATTGCGTCTTTGGCCGTCTGCAAGCTTTCGAATTGGACATAGCCGCAGCCCTTGTGCCGCCCAGTCACCAAGTCGACCATCAAAATGCAGTAGGCAACGGGACCGAACGACTGGAAGACCTCGCGAATGTCCGACTCGCTGAGCTCGGGGTGAATGTTCGCGACAAAGACGTGCGGGAAGGTGGAGCCCTCCTTGCGCAGCTCCTCAATCAGCACTTGCATTGGCTGCGGAGCGTTCGGCGTGCCAAACTTGAGCTGGCGATCGCCAATCCGCGCGTGGTGCATCTGACTGAGCACAATGTCGCCAGACTCGGGATACTCGTACTCGACAAAGCCAAAGCCCTTGTGCCGCGTGGGTGCGACGGGATCGTTGACAAAGCTCACTGAGCGGATTGGGCCGCATTCGGACATGGCTGCGCGCACCTCCCGCTCGCCGGCCTCGAACGGGATGGAGCCAACGTACACGCGACCAATCAATGTGATGGCGCGCGTTCGCAGGGCAACCTGCTGCGCCTCGGCGTGCTGCTTCATCTTGGCAGCCTGCTCCTGCTGCAGCTGCTGTTGTCGCAGCAGATGCTGCTGTTGTGCGGCGTGGAACTGCACCGTGAGCTGCTGCGCAAACTGGCGCGCGCGCTCGAGTGCCTCGGCCTGGTCTGCAGAGAGATCCGCCTCGGCCAGCGGCAGGTGGTGACTACTTGAAGCGTTCTGAGCAGATGCGCTGTGATTGCTCGATGCGACTGCTGTCAGCGATGCGCTGGTTCCATTGGGTCCACTGACTCCACTGGGATTGACTGCAGCATCACTGCTTTGGTCCCACGCAGCGCGTTTCCTGCGTTGGCGCGTTGCTCCCGCGGTCTCAGTCTGCACTGCTGCACCATTGGCTGCGCTGTCTGTGCTTGGATTGCTTGTGGCATCGGCGGTCGTCGTCGTCGTCGTCGAGGCGGTCGTCTCGCTGCCGTCTCGTTGCGCGGCTGCGTCCCCGTTCGGCTCCAGAGCCAGAGCAAGAGCTCCATCGTGATCGTGATCCCCTTGATCGTCGTCCTCGCGCGGTCGCTTGGATCGCTGAACGCCCGTCGTCGCATCGTCAGCGCTGCTCATTTTGGAGCGCTGTTGTCTGAGAAGTTGCGAGATTTTGAGAAATGAGCAGAAGCCCCAAATATGGAAGTTGTCATGCATAATCTACACTATTATAATAATCTATCAAAAGTTAAGGACAACAAGACACGGTTTTCTAAGAAGAGCAAGGCTGCTCAGATCAATGCATGTGCGTGCAGATGTGCACTCAGAGATACCGGCCAATAAAGGCCATGATGCCGGCACCCACCCACATCGCAACAAACAGCGCAACGCGCCGTGCTCGAGAGGAGGCAGCGGCAAAATCACGAGGAAACTCGATCGCCAGCATTTGCGTAAAGCCGACGTATAACAGGATGCCGGCGCTCACAGCATCAAAGGTGCCCTGCACGAGGTTGGTCGTGACGCCGTTCTCATTGTAAGAGTTGACAATCCCGATGCCGATGGCGATACCAACTGGTGCCGACACCGAGTAAATGAACGCAAGCAGAAACTCGTTCAGCTTGGAAAAGTTGCACTCGACCAGCCGTGCACCAAGCGCAATGCCCTCGAAAAACTGGTGGAAGACAAGCGCGGGAATCAGCGTCTCCAAGTCGGTGACGGACGAGACACCAACGGTCAAGCCGATGATGACGGAATGCGCAGTCAACCCAAACTCGAGCACGTAAGCGCCGATCGTGCGTTCTGCCGAGCTGTTGCCAAGCAAACCACCGTGACTGTGGCCATGAGCGAACAGCAGCGAATCGGGCGTTGCAGTGGCAGTACAGCTGGAATTCTGTCCACGCTCGGGATCGCTGTCGGAGGCGCTGACCTGAACCATGCCCGGCTGCGAGGTTTCAGACTTGAGCGCAGTCTTCAGGTCGCGCATGCTGGCAAGTGTTTCAAACAAGTGCATCACGAGCGCGCCCAGCATTGCAAACAGCGGTGCGAATGTGTAGTCCTCTGCAAACGCGGCCGGCAAGCACGGGTTGCCAAGCGCCTCGTATGCGGGAGTGAGCAGGTGGATTAATGCCAGTGCGATGATAACGCCAGTGCCGACATGCTTGCCAATGGTGAACACAAACGGGCTTCGGAAGCAAATCCAAGTGGGATTGCGCTTGGCTAGGATTGGCAAAAGTGTGCCCATCATGCTTGTCACCAGGATGATAAAGATGGCAGCAATGTTGTACCGTTGGTCGTAGTCGTCGACCGACTCGAACGAGCACTCGTTGGTGTCGTTGGACATGTTTGCTGTTCAAGTCGGATCAATGGATTGCTTGGGTTTTGCTTTGTTTTTTGGTCAACTGTAGAAAACTGTGAAACTCTGAGTTGCGTGGTTTTTTCTGAGATGCAGCCAAAACAACCAGACAAACAGACAAACAAACCAGTAAGCAAGCAAGCAAAAGGGTCAGTATCTGATGAGTGAGGTGGACGTGTCTCTACGTTGTCCACCCATGGTCGGTTTGTGTCGGTGTGCATGATGGTCCAGAGGGGGGTCTAGAGGGAGGGGATCAACACGCTTTGCGGCTGTTCTTCCCACACACAGCGTCTGCAGCTTTGGTAATCCCATGTCACATGGCCAGAACTTGTTCGTTGCCGTGGCCTTTTTGACAGTCGTGTGGACAGTGTCGAGATTTGACCGAGTCGTGGATGCTTGTTTGGTCGCGACGTTGTGTGTGTGGCTGCGAAAGTGGGGGGTTGTGAAGCGGCGACTTACAATGATGCGATGTTGTGTCAAACTCAAGCCACAGAGTGACGCTTCAAGAAGTGATTCTGATGATGGGTGATGATTGATGGTTGCTGATGGTTGATGATGATGATTGACGATGAAGCAACTGAGAAAGCAAGACTGAAAGCGCGCCAAATCGAGCGGGTTTTGCTGCCTTTTTCCCATGTGTGCATCGGTCTCGCCTCGTTCCGTCGCACTCTGTCGCTCACTGTGGGGAAAGTGACTGGCTGGCTTGCCTTCCGTCTGTGGTCGAGGACATCCGAGGGGTCGCTGGGGCAATGATGGTGAACGGCACGGAGGGTTGAGTTTTGGTTTTGGTTCTCTCTCTCTCGTTCCTCGAACCCCCCCCCCTCCCCGACATTGCATCCTCGGTGTCACTGTCGCCGCTTGCAGGCCGACGTCCGTGGATCCAGATTGAGTGCGGCGTCATGTTCGGAGACACGAAGCGATGGAAGAGCGAAACTCACGAGGGTCGGATGTTGGACCAATCGCAGCGCAGCGCCAAACGAGCGAGTTCAAACACACACAAAAGCTCAATGCTGCGCAATGTTGCTCAATGTTGAACCAACCAAGCGAGACCTTGAAAATGTGCGTGACTTGCTTCTTGCTTGGTTTGATTGCAGGGATGCGCTGCCAATTCGACGGTCAACCCAAAAGCAAACCCCCGACTGTGCAACCGAGCATGCGAGCATGGCGTGGGAACGGCAGATTGTCAAAAAGAACGCCGATCATTGATGGATTGGAATATCATCACTGAACGGAATACATGGAACAACAACACTCAACTCGCACGACACCCGTAACCAACCCTACCCAGAGACATGGTGATCACTCAGGGTGGAAAACACGCCCTTGCGTGCCTCCTGCTCTTGCTGGAGTTGGCCGGCAATCCAGCGCGCCTCGTCCACAACAGCAGCTGGAAGCCCCGCAAGCTCAGCCACCTCAATGCCGTAGGAACGGAGCGCCACGCCCGGAACAATCTGATGGGTAAAGCTGGGCTGTCCCTCGGTCGAGTGAAGCACGCGCACCATGTGACAGGCCGCATTGCGGAGCAGCTGCGGGTGCTCCTGGCACCGTTGCGCGACTTCGAGAAAGTGCGTGGCAAACAGCATTCGGCACCGCGTTTTCGTGTGCAGATACGACAGCACCGCCCAGGACAGCGCAACGCCGTCCGTCGTGGACGTGCCGCGTCCAATCTCGTCCACAATCACAAACGAGCGGCTCGTCGCCTCGCGCAAAATGCGAGCCGTCTCGGACATTTCGACCATGAACGTCGACTTGTGCTTGACCAGGTTGTCAGAGGCGCCCACGCGCGTAAACAACCGATCCACAATGCCGATGGTAGCTGACAGCGCTGGAACGTGGCTGCCCATTTGCGCGAGGAGCACAATGAGGGCGTTCTGGCGCATAAAGGTCGACTTGCCACCCATGTTTGCGCCCGTGATAATCCAGCAGTGGGCAGCTCGCGTAGGGGCCGTGTTGTTTGGTGACGGAGCAGCTTGGACGCCGCGGGCAGGCTCGGCGACGGACATGACGCAGTCGTTGGGCGTAAAGCTCACTTGGTTGGCGGTTGCGGAATCCTTCATCTGCAGCGCATCGAGGACGGGGTGGAAGCCGCCACGAATGTCAAGCACACCGCTCGCGGAGACCAGTGTCGGGCGTGTCCAGTCGTATCGTTGGGCGGTGTGCGCGTGCGAGATGGCTACATCTATCTGCGAGATGGACTCGCTTGCGGCCGTGATCACGGCGATTTCGGCTTGGATCCTGCTGCAAATGTCTTGCCGCACCTGCTCCTGGGCTTGAAGCATTTCGTCGTCCATTTCAACATGCTGGCGGCGGAACTCTTGCAGTCGAGGAGAAGATAGGACACTGACGCGACCGCTCAGAGCGGGTCGCTTAACTCCGGGGTTGAGCCGAGCGTGGGGAGAGAAGGCGTCGCGCGGTGCTCGGGCACTGGTGCGCACAATGGTGAGATCTGGCGAACTCTTCAAAATGTCTGGAGTTGCAAACTCGCTGACAATCAGGCAGCCGTCGCGCGCGTCGACCAGCATGGCAGGTGTCATGCCGCGATCGATGGTCGAGTAGCCCTGGACGAGTTGGTTCAAGTCCTCAAGGTACGAGGCTCGCTTCGAGTGCAGTTCCTGGATGCGCTGCGACACCAAGACATAGCGGGGTCGCTCCTCGTCGTCAGGATCTTGCGGTTCATCCATGGCGAGATCGGCGTTGCCAGCAGCGACGGGCACGGCAGGGACTGCGGCGTTGGCTGGTGACGAGGCTTTCTTGCGCTTGCTTGAAGAGGATGATTTCTTTGTCGACGCGCCAGGCGCTGAGGTTGCAGACGTCGTAGCAGCAGCAGCAGCAAGCGATGCAGTCGCTGTCTCAGCCAGTCCAACGTACGTTGACAAATACTTGCACAGGGCTTGAACACGCGCATCCTCGAGCGGCTTGAGCAGCTCGGCGTCCAGCGTGGGACTATTGGGCAACGAAAACTGCTCACGAATGGTGGTCGCAACGCCCGCAGCAGCCGCGAGCGAGTCGATGAGGTCTGCAACGTGATTCGCAAACCGCCAGGTCTTCACGCCGTGCCGGAAAATGCTGCCCAGCGTGCGTGGAACATCCTTGATGCCGCCAAACGTGGATCGAACGCGGTTGCGACGCGGTTCGTCAAACATAAAGAAGGCAGTGTGGTCTTGCCGCTTGCGAATGAGCTCAATGTCGGTCAGGGGCTCCATGAGCGACCGTCGCAGCAATCGACCTCCCATCGACGTCTGTGTGTGCTTGATGGTCGCAAACAGAGTGGAGGAGGCGGCGTTGCCTGGAACCGGTTCAAACAGCTCCAGAGCCGCGCAGCTAACGGGATCCACTTGCATGGGTTGATGGTGTAGAGCGCGGTGCTGCGAGGGATCTTGGTCCAGGGCCGGGCGGTGGTGCAAACCAAGGAGCTTGATGCGGTGTGTCGGCATGGGGTATCTGGACTCGAGCCACGCAAGCATGCCATTGATGGCGTTGGCTTCCAGTGCAGTGACGGCTGGTACTGCAGCGGCCGCGTTCATGAACTGGTGCAACAGCGGAAGGTTGAGAATGTCCAGCTTGGACGCAGGCGACAAGAGTGGTTCGGGCTGGAATGGTTGTGCGCCATCCACTCTCTTGACGTCAAACAGCCTGTCGTGGTCGAAGGGTGGTGGCGGAGGCGCGTTCACCGAGACAGGAACGTCCTGGTCTCCGTAGACCTGGCGAACCAGATCTTTCAACGCTGCGTTCTCGACAACGAGCTCGACCGGCCGAAGCGACGATAGTAGCTCGGGCAGCCTGCTTGGCGAAATGCTTCCGGCGTAGAGCTCGGCAGTGGACAGATCGCTCCAGACAACGCCGATTCGATTGGATGTCGACGACGACGCTCCGTGCAAGTACACGACATTGTTTTCAGCATCGCTGTCGATGAGATCGATCTGGTTGCCGCGACTGATAATCCGCGTGACTGCACGGTATTTGAGACCCCCTTGCTCCAAGCCTTCAATCTCACAGACCTCAACCACAGTGAATCCAGCCTTGACGAGCTGGGCAATCCGATTGAGCGAGTTTGCCGCCGGGAATCCTGCAAACTTGAGGCCGTCTTTGGACGTGAGCTGTATGTTGAGCGTCGATGCTCCTGTCTCGGCGTCCTGTCCGTAGAGCTCGAAGAACTTGCCAAACTGGAAGAGGACAATCTGGTCTGGTTGCGAGTACCGGCTCTTGATGGTGTTGTAAACTTGCATGACTCCCAGCGAGCCAGGATTACTGGTGCTGCTAGTACTGGATGTTGTAGCAGGTCGTATCGGGGTTGAGGTCAGCGGGAAGGGTGCCGTCGTCGAGGGTGGGGCTTGAGTGGAGCCGCAACCCAGCGGGATGGGGACCTGGCCTGCAGTGCGCGCCCGGGTGCTTGTGCCAGTGTGGCTGAGGAGTGATGCAGTCATGGCAGCAGATGTGTGCAGCCATCGGCGGCTGGCTGGGCGCTGAGCTTGAGCTGTCTTGGCGAAGGCGGATTCGCATCGGTGCGCAGGCTCAGCGTGCAGCGCTCCACACGCCCGGGCGCCGCTGGCGGTTGGCGTAGATGTGCGAGTCGCAAGGCCATTGCTCGGGATCCGTGGCAGTGGTGGTCGCCCGTGACCCACGGCGCTGGCAAAGCGGAGCATTGCTGAGGCTTGGTTCGCGCGACTGAGAAGCACTTTGCAAAAGTTACTCCTGCAAGAACGACTGGTAGAATGACCGTTCCGGTTGAATAGGATGATCAGTACCGTACTTTGGTATCGTTGTACATGGAAGACGCGGGGAAGATGCGCGCGTTTCCAGGTGTCAGAGTGATCAACGTCGCCGTCAAATGCGTCAAGTTCGAGATGGACAGCGATCAGCCAAGTCCACTTGTCGCCGTCCCGATGGATGGAAAAGACTGGAAATATTACTGTTGAGTGTTTTTTGCCAAGGAGAGGACGGCATCGTGCAGTGGTAAGTTGGAGAACCGGTTTGAAAACCGCACGCGAGATTTGTGAAATGCCTGTTGAGGTGCTGCTGATCTTGTGACGATTTCTGGATCGTTTTAGTGAGCAGTTGATCGCGCACCACGTTGCTGCAGTTTCGTTGGTGGAACTCGGTTGCTTCACTCCGAGTCAGTCGGAGGCGGCACTTTTGCGTTTTTTGGTTGCTGGTTTATAATTTTTCGAAAAGTGAACTTGTGCCGCGAGAATTTTGAAATCGCAAAATCGATGACGAGAGGCCGCCAAACCACCGCCGCAAGCACAAACATGCATACGACGACCCGAGAAGACAGATAGCAAGGCGACGGCTGTGACTACGCAGTCAGATCAGAGCAATCATGCTACAAACAGGCACGGTTCTCAAATCTACGCGATTCTCGTCCATGCTAGAAGTCCGTCGCGGCTCTTTGACAAGGGGCAGCTGTTCATGTTGAACAACTGCTTCAGAAGACTCAAAGCGTTGCAGTGTGGGTGCTGAAATTCGCTTGAACCGGAACGGCGGCCTGGAATGACCAAAGTCCTCGGACGATGAGACTCGTTCGCCTTATTTTCGCCTGCGCTTGATCCTGCATCGCTTGAAGCGATTGGCTGTATTTTCATTCCATGCATTCGAGCGGATCAAAGCCGGCCAGAGGCTCAAAGCAGGAGTTGACTGTTTTGATTGAAAATCTCGTGCGAAAGGTCCACTTTTGCTCATCGCCGAATGACTACATACCAACCACGGATTTCAAAAGAGTCGAGGCGAGCAAAGTGGGGTATCGTGCTGGTGGTGCAGCAGCAGGAGGGCTTTTTCCCCCGATGTCAAAAACAATCAAAACACTCAGAACAAACACAACGCTGTTTATTTCTCTTTTTTCTTCCCTTTCCTTCCCTTTCCTTCTCTCCCGTTCTTCGTTTGCGCTTTTTCCTGTTTCTTGGATGTGGTCGCTCGTCATCACCGCCGCGCTTCTTCTGGCAGCCGCGGGTCGTGGCAGCGCTGACACGTGCGTGGCGACTGCCGGCTTCAATGCGCGGATGAGCAGCCCGATCAGCTTCTACAATGTGGCTCTGACGACCTGCGCCGACAGCGTCGACCCGTGCCCCGCTGGCTATACCTCGTGCGTGTACAAGGCACACAGTCCCCACGGCATCGAGCAGTACACACTCTACTGCACGCACTGCGTGAACATTACCAACCCTTGCTGCGAGGGCTCGGAGCGCCGGCCGTCGGATGAGTACAGCGGGCTCTGTCCCCTGTGCGCGCCGGTATGTTTGTTTGGTGTCGCAGCTGTGCGGTTGCGATGCGGATGAGTGTGTGTGTATGAGTGTGTGATTTGATGAGTGTGGAGGGAGAGGAGGTGGGGGGGGGAGAGGAGGGATGGCCGCTCGTCTCGTCTGCGTTGCTCAGCCCCTCGACTGTCACCCGACTGCACCACAGGTTCTCGAGTACTGCCCCGAGTTCGTCGAGAACGGTCGGATGGACGGCACCACACTCATTTGCGACGCAGGCTACCAGTGCAACGGGGAAAACACCAACGGCAGCAACTCTTGCATGTACGTGCAGTGCAGGCCGAACGGGACGATCAATCGCTCGTGTGTTCCCCGCCGCTGATATCCTCCGAGAGTCGGGCGCGGTTTGCCAGCTTGTTCCGCAAAGACCACAAACCCCTTTTTCGTTGTGGGGGCTTTCTACTTTGGCCGCAGTACTTGCCACTGTGTTCTTGCGTCAAGCTGTTGAATCTCGTGTTGGATTGGGCGGAACTGTCGATTTCGGTGCATCTGAGCGTTGCGGTGTTTGTACAGTGCTGCTAAAGTGACAAGAACTTTATGAGCAAGAATCAATCAGCGTGAATCAAGTTTGGAAAACACAGACGACGAAGCGCAAACGCAACCAAGGACTGTGCGGGTGGCAATCCGCCATGTAACAGAGTTCCGGGCATGGGGAAGTGCCATAGTGTCGCATAGTGCGAGCTCGAGGTTTGATGCCACTTGGCGTGTGCGCCGCCGCTTTGTCACATCCGAACCAAACGATGGAACGCCTTTCTCGCATCGAGTGCTCGCAACATGAAGCACAACGCAAACACCTCTTTGCGGGCTCTTCCACACACACACACACACTACTGTACCCGCCGTGTGATCTGATTCAGTCCCGATTATCTTTCACCAGAGTTTGTTTGGTGAGCGTGGTTTTGTTTCGTCCTATTTTGTCTGCCAACGTTGTTCTTTCGGTCTCTTTCGCTCTCGACCACCCTCGACTTGAGCTATTTCCACTGCTCTTCAACAAACCCTGCACTCAACAAGCTATTCACATCATCCGAGCGAGACAAAGCCGAGAACCGAAAAACAACGTCAAATCACGGTTCCGTGGACATTGAAGGGAGCAGCGTTGAGTGGGTTGAGTGGGTTCGCTTTTGTTGGTCTGCTCCGCTTTTCAGTCTTCGCTTTAGAGCGCTCTGCAATTCAGCAGCACTGCAGCTACAAGTCACTCAGTCACTCAGTCACTCGGTCACTCAGTCAATAGGGGAGGTGCTGCTCATTCTGGTTGTAGAGTGCGCAATGGCTCGACGGTGATTTGTCGGCGTTTTGGCGGTTTTTCTCTCGCTTTGTCGCCTCCATTCGCCCTCTTCACGCTTCCCTGGTTTTGTCCCCACCCCCCACCCGCTCTCCGGCCTCCAACACTCTTAACAGCACAATCCACAGTCACAATCACAATCACAGCAAAAGACCAAAAAGCAAAAAAAAAAAAAACCAGCGCGGGTGACTGAAGTCTTCCACCTGTCAATCTCAACACACTCAAATGTCAAATTCGAAAAACCCTAAAAACCCGAAAAAATTCGACTTTACTTTTTTCAATTTCTCATTCAATTCGGAAAATGCATTGTTCGAATGAATGAACGAATGAACGAATGAATGAACGAACGAATGAATGAATGGTCGACAAAACTCTGCTCGCTTTTGCAACAAAGCTCGCTTCAATGCGAAAAACTCATGTTTCAACATCCATCTCCACCAATCCTCCCTCTCCTACTGTACTGGACTGCACTTTGCTGCTGCATTTCGCTCACTTGTCTTCATTCCATGCACATTCTCAGATTCGCATATTTCTCAGACCCTCTTCAGACCATGCCCGCCGCAATGACCCCAGTCACACTCGCTCAGACAAGACGCACGCGCGCAATCCGCCTGGCTGCCGCTGCTGTCGCGGCTACCACCGCTGCAGGCCTCGCATTCACGACCACCTCCACAAAAGTAGCATACCCGACCACACCAAGATTGTCCACCGCTTTGCCGCAGCCGCAAATCACCCTCCAGACAAAATCAGTCCCAGCAACCCGAGCTGCTCCGAAACCGGCACAGCATTTGCTCGGCGGAACAGTCGGCGGCATCATGGGCATTGTGGCCTCGTATCCGTTCGATACAGTCAAGGTGCGCATCCAAACGCAGCCACCTGGCTCGGCATTGTACACGGGCATGGTCGATTGCTTCCGCAAAATCATCAAGAGCGAAGGTGTAAGTGAATGACTTTTGTTTGTGTGAGTTGGTTCCGATTTCGGATGTCGAGGACATGCAAACTCACATCCATGCTCCATCAGGCACTTGCACTGTACAGCGGCATGCTGTCCCCCGTCGTAGGCGTCGCAGGCGTCAAGGCAGTCGTTTTTGGCTCGTACGGCGGCATTTCGCAATGGCTTCTGGCGCGAAAGCAAGGCGTCGTGGCAGGTTCCGAGCAGCCACAGCAGCAGCAGCAGCCCGTCAAACTGTCTGGCTTTGAGAATGCGCTTGCCAGCTGCAGCGCTGGTCTCGTGGCGACAATTGTCGTCACGCCGGTCGAGCGCGTCAAGGTCTCGATGCAGGCCAGCGGCGGCAAGGCGTTCAAGTCCACTCTGGACTGCGTGCTCTCGCTTGTTCGCACCGCGGGCATCTCGGGCGGGCTTTTCAAGGGATTTGTCCCCACAGTACTGCGAGAGGTGCCCTCGTATGGCGCGTACTTTATCTCCTACGACATGGCCAAGCGCGCGTTCTGCCAACCAGGGCAAGACGTGTCCACCCTCAGCCCCGGCTTGCTTGCGCTTGCTGGCGGTATTGCAGGCGTCATGGCATGGGTGCCCATCTATCCGATCGATGTGATCAAGTCGCGCATTCAGGCGCAACCCAGCAGCGCTTTGGTTGCCGCATCGTCCGGCAGCTCCTCGCGACCCTACTCTGGCGTGGTTGACTGCGCCGTTCGCAGTTATCGAGCAGAGGGCCTCGGCGTATTCTTCCGCGGACTCACTCCAACCATCGCCCGTGCCTTCCCATGCCATGCCGCCGTCTTCCTCGGCTACGAGTTGACGCTGCGTTACACTGCACCATTGTTTGCATGATTGTGCTTTTGTTTTTGTCGTTTGTTTCGTGGTGTGCAGAGTTCTTTTCATTAACATATTTTTGATCGGTCACAAGCTTTGTTTCACTTTGCTCAGTCGTCTTTCGAGCTGGATTACTTTTCAGATTACCTCTTTTTCTCCTTTTCTCTTTCACTCCTTCGCTCTTCCAGCTCGTTCTGACTCGCACATCTCCACATCTTCTCGTTCGTCTCCGGTTGATCTGCCTGCGTCCGTTAGATCAACATCTCGCTGATTTTGATCAACCAATTTCAATCTCCTGCGAAAATCGATTCTGCGACGATTTTTTCACCAATTCTAAAACAAAAAAATGCCCGTTTCGCTTCAACTGCTGGTCACCGTCGCTTGGCTCGGCATGCTGCTGTGCATACCTCCCACTGCCGATGCTTGGCTGTGGCCGTTCGGCTCGAGCGCTGCACCGTCGGTTTCAGGTGAGCGACATGAGGTCATCATTCCCAAAAAGGAAACTGCTCTGTTTCGCGCCAAAAAAACATTCCTCGTGGCGCACTGATGACCGGCCATTCTGCAGAATTCTGGCACAATTTGGCTTGGAACAATTGACTTGCAGTTGTCACTCGAATGGAGCTCTAGCACTGACCATTTTTATTTGACCGTTGTTGATTGATTGCAGGTGCTCCACGACGCCTCCACCCGGACATTGATGAATTTGACGCGAATCGCGCCGTGACGTTCGAGCTGATGCCTGCCGAACTCGCTGAGAACAACGACATGAACTCGGCAGACGTACTGCGCCTCGTGCTGGATGCTTGCCACGAGCGAGTCATTTCAGATTTGCGGCAGCGGTGCAGCGACATGGACGAAGAAAGCATGTCGCGCGTTGCCGTCCAGCTCTACAACTGTCAAGCCGTTCGCGAGCAGCGCCAGACCTATCCTTGCACGAATGAGATGGTAGGTCGTAGTTGAGTGTCTGTGGGAAGGCACTTGGCGGGTTGTAATTTGTATTGTTTTCTCTCGTGCTGACCCATCAATTTATGCTTGCCCCTCTTCCTGCAGCGCTTGGCCGATTGTACTCGTGACATGGACGCCACGACATGGAATACGTACCACATTATCAGCAACCGAGCACGCCAAGTCTGCTTCTCCGTTCAAAGCCAATTGTACCGCCGCCAAACTGAGCAGACCATCAACAAGCTCAGCCGTTCTGCTGGCGAGCAGCTCCGATCGCTGCGTGGGCTCCGCGACGAGCAGCAAGCTCTTTGGAAGAACACCAAATCCGCAGTGGATGAGCTTCAACAGGGCCAAGTGCAATTGAGCGAGGGCCAGCAACTCATGCTCGACAAGCAACTCCGTCTTCTTGACGAGCAGCGGCAGCTTGGAGACTCGCTCGATGCCAACATTAAAATGCTCGAGCGAGGCCAGCAAGAGCTGCAACGAATGAGCGAGTCCATTTCTGTTGCTATCGGTACGCACGTTGAATCTGCAAACAATGATGGCTGTGCTGCTTGGCTTGCTCGATGATTCACTTTTTTGGTGCACAATCCGCACGAACTTGGATAGGAGACACATCGCGGCAACTGCGAGCGCACCACCAGGACGCACAAAGCCGTTTCAGCCAAGTCATGTCTGAAATCGATCACATCCACATGAACGCAGGCGAACTGTGGACCAAGATCGAAGACGCAAGGCAACAGATTGCCCTGCACCGTTCGGAGGCCGAGGGGTACTATCACTCCACGTTGAGCGATTTGGGCCGCATCAATTCCACCATCCGCTTTCTGGCCGATGTGTTTAGTGTGCGCATGGACTGGTTGGGCCACGAAGTGACGGACAGCAACACCCAACTGCGGACGATTTCCACCCTAGTGTTCCACGCCCTGTACCTGCTCGTTGTTGGTGTGGTCGTGTCCTTTTTGCGGGTTCCCCAGCTGTACCGCGTCACTCTGCTCCTCTCCTTGCTATCGAACGTGAGCGCTCAAGTCTGGCTTGGATCGTCTCTGAGTCTGCCACACCTCACAATCGTCGTGGTATCCTTGATGACTGGTATGTCATAATGTTGCATGTCGTGCTGAACGATAGCGTGTTTGTTGAATCTGAACGAACTTTCGCGGTTCTCACACTCGCTGCCGTTGTACTGTTCAGGCTTGCTCTGTCTCGACGTTCGCCGTCTCAAAGCTCAAGCATCTCATCAAGCGCCTTCGCCCACAACAGCTACAGGGCGGTATGGACTCGAACGGCGGGTACCGACAACTCGGGCAAGATTCACCGCCGCAACCGATTCCACAGGCTTTGTCGACATTGAAGGCGACGACGAAGACGAATCCCGGCATGAAAAGACTTCGTGCATCAAAGCAGTCCTCGGGCGACCCGAAGCCGGGGCTGCGCGCCGTTGTGTCGCACTCACTCCCATGGGCAGCGACGTGTGCTCGCGCAAGATTTCCGACGGTGCCGATCCCCGTCGCTCGCACTGTCGTCTGCATTCACCTGAATAGCAGGCGCGCTCGTTCTTGTCATTGTTGTTGTTGTTGTTGTTTTCAGATTGTGTAGGTGTGGAATGGCTTTATTGAGACGCAAAATTCAAGCAACCAGAATACAGCATTCCACACAAAATTCTATCTGCTCGCAGAATGCTGTGCTGGCTTTCCAACTCTCAACGTGATCTATTCGTTGCAGTTTTTCCACTGAATCGACTTGTTCTGTTTTTGTTTGTTCAAGCAACAGTTTATTTTTTGATTCTTTTCATTCGGCTCATTTATTTCTCATGAAAACTGCAAACGATCGCTTGTACCGCTTGATGTCGAACGCTCTAGTGCTTCCTGAATAACGATGCCATCGATTTGTAGTTGAATTGCGGGAACGGGTCGGTGACTGACTGTAGACGTGCACAGAACCATGCCGTCGTTTCAGAATATGACCCCGAAACAACTCGAGGTGTATTATCAAGTTGTAGCAGTCAAGAGTGACCGGCTCGGGTAAGAGAAACACAGTGGTGACAGTTGAAGCACGATTGTGTGGAACGCGTGAGTTGACACAAACCATGGTACAGCTTGAATGGGAGTAAAATTGGCGATGAAGGAGCACAGGTTATTGCCAAGTTCCTCAAAAAGAACACGACGCCAAAGGAGCTCTAGTAAGCTGGCCCACAGTTTATGATGTGGAGAGCAATGAATTCAGCGTTGCGCACCGAGAGTGCTCACTTGATGCGGCGTACAGTCTGAGACAGAACCAGATCACCGATGCGGGAGTGCAGGCCATTGCCAAGGCGCTCAAAGTGAACACAAGCGTGCAGTGGCTCATGTGAGTCATCCTGATGTTTGACCCCAAAGTCGCAGGGGACGTTTTAAAGTGCTCACAGATCGATGGGATGGGCAGTCTGAACCAGAATCAGATTAGCGACATTGGCGCAAAGGCGCTCGCCGAGGCACTGAAAGTGAACAAGACTCTGACGTTCCTTGGGTGGGTGTGATGCTGATTCCGTGAATGTGACCTCAAAGGGGTTTTGAACTTTCATTCATGCCATTGACTGACGACGCAATCAATACCAAACTGTAGGTTAGAAGAAAACTTGCTGACCAAAGCTGGAATCGCTGCACTTCGACATTCTGGCAATGCCACTTGTAAATTAGAGTAAGCCTTTGGCGCGTTGTTTGAATTCTTGCTCGAAGCAAACCCAGCAGAACAAGGATTCACCGTGCTTGCTTTTTGACCAATCCACTGCAGGCATTTCTACTGTGGTCGGCTTGACAACCAACGCGTCCCAGCCCCTGCCGACCTGAAGCAGATGGAAGAACGAGCTGAGGCAAGTGCCAATGCCCGATCTGCAGTCGACCTTGCTGATAAGAATCAGAAACTGCGATCCAAACTGGAAGCCAGAGACCGTGAACTTCAAGAATCGCGTTCCGAGCTCGCTACCAACGAGCTCAAGCTACAACAGCTGCAATCCTATCTCACGTCAGCTCTTGATCGGATTGTCGTACTCGAGTGCAACCAACTACCTGTTGGAGCTTCTCCGAACTTTGATGGACCCATCCCGCAAATTCCTCTGGCAACTCTGTTCGCCGCCGCGAACAATTTTGCTGATCCTCCGCTCGGCGAAGGGGCATTTGGTCGGGTGTACAGCGGTTTCATCCCTGGACCTCGTATTGCCATCAAGAGGCTTTCTGCCGAGTCCAAGCAAGGCAAGGACGAATTCAAGTCGGAACTGGACTCTCTGTCGAAATTCCGCCATCCCAACATTATTGCCATCCTGTCCTTTGCCGAAGAGGGCGATGAGCGATGCCTGGTCTACGAGTTCATGTCCAATGGCTCTGTTCGCGATCGTCTCAGTCGCAAGAATGGCACGCCTCCGTTGACCTGGGCGCAGCGATATCGCATTGCAACTGACGTTGCTCGAGGCATGCACTACGTCCAGACAGCCTTCCCTGATCATGCGCTATTTCACCTCGACCTCAAGACCTCCAATGTACTGCTTGATGCCCATTTCAATGCGAAAGTGTCTGATTTTGGGCTTGTTCGTGTCGCGCAGCACCTCGACGATGTGAGCTACCTTCGCACCCAAAATCGCCAAGGGACCACCGCTTACATGTGCCCTGACTTACTCGAGGAAGGCCGCATTACAATCAAGACAGACGTCTATGCCTTTGGCATGATTCTGCTCGAGTTGGTGACTGGAATGAAGGCGGCGGCCAAACTGAAGAGTGACTCTCGCAAGGCTCTCAAAGCCGATAAGTTTGTTGGTCTGGTTGACTCGACGATCAAAGAGGATGGACAAGGGATCAAGGAGGTTGTTAGTCTCGCACTCGAATGTCTCGATGAAGCAGCCAACGATCGCCCATCCTTTGGTGGCCTCCTTGCGACTTTGGATGCTTAGGGGCGGGGGGTCTGAGATTTCGAGCGGTCAGGTTCACGGTTCAAGTTCATTTTTTTTCTCGCTTTTCTGCGTGCGATCGTCTCGACCACAAAACCATGCACACGTTGGTTTCAATAATTGAATCGCACTAGTGCATTTCTTGAAGCTGTATGACTTGGGAGGGGGCGCAGAGGCAACCAACAACAGTTTCCAATTGCAAATCTTCAGTACAAAATTTTCCAATGCCAAAACACCAGCTATGCAATGATGCAGCCACCGCCACCGCCATTGCTGCCACCGCGGTTGCCACTGCTCGTGCTGGCGTTCGATTGCCTGGGCTGTCCACCTGCCGAGCTTGAGCTGCCTCGGCTGGCCTTGAGCAGCGCGGGTGTGCGGTCAACGCAGACATTGCAGTACGCCTTGTTAGAAACGACCTGTCCGTCCCCATCCAGCCCACACACACACACACACACACACACGCACATACACACACGGACGTATGCAACCTGTGAGTATCGAGAATCACACTGGGCAAAAGGGGGCACTCAAAAACCGACCCTCGCCTTTCCATACTAAGCCATTCCAATGCCGCAAACACCAAACGCAAGACCCTCACCTTGTACTCGTTGGCGAGCTGCTTGCCGCACTTCTTGCAGACAAAGCACTTGGGATGCCACGTCTTGCCCATGGCCTCCTTCTGTCCGCTCGCGACGGGTCCTGAGCATGCCGGGCAGTTGATTCCCATTCTGTCTGCGGTTTGGTTGTTTGAGCAGTCGGTTGAGAAGTGAGAAGTGGCTTTCCTGCTCAGAGAACAAAACAAGGACTGACTAGCTAGCTGAGCAATAACACTTAGCATTGATGAACGTTCGATTGACATCTTCATTGATCGACCCCCTGTGAACCGTCTCATCGAATCCAACAACGCGATTCTCTCAATGACGGCGATTCTTCCAAATTGTTGAACGCGATTCTTTCAATGTCATTGTTCAACTTGGTTCCGAGTTTTCGTTCATTCATCATTCGTACTCATACTGTACTGAGCTCAGTCTTTGTGTTTTGAGCGTTCTTGTTGCAAAATCACCAGTCATGGAAGCGAGCGACACGACTCGGTTGCTCGGGTCCAGCAGCAGTTCTTCGTACACCCATAGCAGCAATGATCTGACATCGTCGTTGATATCCACTAGCACCAGCAATATCAGCAGCACCAATAGCAGCAGCAGCAACAGCAGCAGCCTGTCGCACACAACGCGACCAAAGAAGGCGACGCTGCTGTCGGCGTACACAAATCTGGCGACCGCGGCTGTCGGAGTTGGGATTTTGTCGTATCCGTACGCGTTCGACGCCGCGGGAGTGCTCATGATTGTGCTTCTGACGCTGGTGTTTATCGTCGTCAACGGATACACCCTGCAAGTGCTTGCTGACTTTGCGCAGCGGCACCAGGCCAAGCTGACGCTGTACTCGTACGAAGAGCTCGTCCAGGTCGTCCTGGGCCGCCGAGCCTACCTCGTCGCCGTCGCCGTGCTCTTCTTCAACGTCATTGGCTCCTGCACGGGCTTCCTCATTGTTGTCTGCGATCTCGCCGTCCCCGTCCTCGCCAAGTGGATTGACCCGGACTCGTTCCTCGCCTCGCGCACGTTCGTCATGCTCGTGTTTGGCCTCTGCGTCGTCTTCCCGCTCTCCCTCCTCGGCGACTTCCACTCGCTCGCGTTCTCGAGCTTCATCGCCGTCGCTTCCGTGCTGGCCGTCGCTGGCGTCGTCGTTTACAGGTACAAAACGAAAAGATTTGTGTTGTCAGATTTTGTCCGAATTGGTTTCGAAACAATCTCGAGCGAATGAGATTTCAAGGCGATGGGTCAACTTCCCCTCGGATTGCATGGTCTGGGAAAAATAAAATACCAAGCACAAGTTGCTTGGTCGGAGAAAAAAAAACAAACTCAAAGAACTTGGATTCGTTTTTTCCCACCATCCGTCGCTTGAGAGTTTGACATGACTTGACAGATTGGTCTCACTTGGTGCAACTTGACGCTCATTCAACAAAACACAGAGGATCGTCGTATATTGCTGATCATGGCTCGAGCGCCTTCGATGGAGATCGCGTGTTCCTGGTACAAAACAGCTTTTCCATTGTTCTGGCAGTCCCGCTGTGCATTTTCGCGCTGGGCTGCCATTTGCAAGTCGTTCCGCTCTATGGAGAAATGTCCCCGTCCGTGCAGCCTCGATTTCCCATCGTAGTGGTCGGCACAGTCACCTCCTGTGGATTCCTGTACCTCCTCACTGGCCTTTTCGGATATGTCGAGTGGACCTCGAGCGTGAAGAGTGACGTTCTGACCAACTATGATATTGGCGACACTGTGGTGAGTGTCGTTGCTCTTTGTGAAGAGTGTGCTTCGTGTTGCGATCGAGAGGCAGAGCTCGAGAGGAGCACAGCAGAACCCTGTCCTTTTGCTTGTTTGTAACGCTCACGGCGGGGATTTGTTGGCAGATCGACGTTGCCAAGCTGCTCATGGGGCTGCACATCACCCTGGCATACCCAGTCGCCCTGTTTCCTGGTCGCAAGGCGCTCGACCTGCTGATTGTCAACTGGACCAAGGGCCGAGTTGAACCGACGCTGCGGCGCACCATGGTGCAAAACTTTTTCATTGTGTTGGTGACGGGCCTGTTTGCCGTCCTCGTTCCGCAGGTCGACATGGTGTTTGGCTTTGTTGGCTCCACGTCTGCAGTCATCCTAGACTATGGGTTCCCTGCCCTCATGCTTCTCCAGCGCGCGCGAGAAGTGGCTGACGAAGGGTTTTTTACCAAGCCCTCGCAGCCCACCACCAATTCCAGTGGCCACTATCCTGCCTCTCCTGTCGACGGTCGGAGCGATGGCTACAATGAAAAGGCAGCGCTCCTGTCGGGCCACCAGGGTGCTCCCCGGACCCGCGGCGCGTCCAAGCTCTACCTGTTTTCGTCCGCCTTTGTGGTTGACAATGAGTCAGCCGACGGCCAGACCTCCTGGTATCGCGACGACTGGTACCAGGCTGACGGGGCCAAGGCGCGTGCCAAATGGGTGTGGCGGGAGCGACTGATTGGCCGTGCGCTTGTCGGCATGTCCGTGCTCGTTGCTCTTGTCGGCACTGGTGTCAATCTGTACCAAGACATTACCGGGTGATGGGAGGCTCATGGATTGCTGCGTGTATGGTTTTGTGGTAGTGCTTTTTGTGTGTGATTCTTTGATTCCGCTGTCCCGTGTCTGACTATATTGCTTGATACGAAACTCTTCCAATGTAAACATCCATCCGAATTGCTCTGGCTTTCCCGCCCCCCCCCCCGCCTCCCTTATTCTTCACTTCAACCTCAAATGCCCGATACTTTTTTTGCATCCATTCCAGCACGCTTCTTCCGCCGCAGCTCAGTTCTCTTGATGAGGTCGTTCAACAATCAAACAACTCTTTTCGACCATCGTCCGTCCTTCCTTCGGTTTTTTTTCCCGCTCGTTCGTTCCAATCGTCGATCCTTTTTTTTCCTCTCCCTTTCTCTTTGCAATCATCATCATCGTTCTTTCTAACTGTCATTTTGAAACAAGAAACATCCTTTTTTTTTTTTTTTTCCTTTTTTCTTCTTCATGTTTATTCTTTTTTTTTTTTTTCTTTTCTATTTGTTTGTTTGTTTTTGCTTCTTTTTCTTGTTTTTTTTTTCCCCCCGCTTTTTGTTTGTTTCTTCTTCACTTCTTCTTCTTCGCTTCATCTTCTTCTTCTTCGCTTCTTCTTCTTTGCTTCTTCTTCCCTTCTTTTGCTTCCCTTCTTTTGCTTCAAGCCTGACCTCTTCCTGCCTGACCTCTTCTCTCCCCTTCGCTCCTCTGGCGTCACTTTCGTTTGTCAACCGCAAGTGGTTCTCTCTCTCTCTTTCTCTCTCAAAGTCCTTCTGTTGGACGACACTCACACTCACACGCTCACACTCACACACGTTCGACTGCTCAACCATGACGACATCGAGTGCACTGCCTCGGTGCAGGACGAGAACCGCTCAGCTTGCCTGCGCCATGGCCTTCGCCCTCGTCTTCGTCTTGCTGCCGTCCAGCGCGATCGCTGCGCCACTCTACGCACCCGCTGGCTATGGCGGAGTCCCGCTGCACCTGTCGTCGAGGTCACTCAAGGACCCCGCGTGTGGCGGGCTCGTCATTGTGGAGATTCTGTACAACCCGCTCAAGGACACTGCCGCTCAAGAGTGGATTAAAATCATCAACATTGGTGACGAGACTGTCTCGCTCGCTGGCTGGGAGCTCACCACGGCCAACGGCGCGTCAACCATCCCGTCATCGTCAACACTGACTGTCAAGCCTCAGGCGTGCGTCATCTTTGGCGGATCGCAAAACCCGTCGCTGAACAACCATGTGCTGGTCGACTGGGCGTGGAGTGCCGGTCTCTCGCTGGGCAACACCAAGGACACGGTCACGCTGTTCAACCCGTCCAAGACCATGTGCAATACGGTCGACTACTATGCGGCTGGTCATGGATGGCCGGCGGTCGTTTCACACGCATCGCTCGTCCTGACCGACAAGTACCTGGACAACAACAATGGAAGCTACTGGATGTACGCCACCACCACCTGGCCCGAGTCCAACGGTGTGAAGGGCGAACCCAACTTTTGCCCTTACGATCGGGTAAGTGTATTGAGCGGTTTTTGCGCTGGCGGCGGTATTGTTGTTTGTTTGTTGAAACGTCTGTCTGCGTTGTTTGCATTTCTAACTCGTTGTTGTTGTTGTTGTTGTTGTTGTTGTTGTTGTTGTTGTTGTTGTTGTTGTTGTTGTTGTTGTTGTTGTTGTTGTTGTTGTTGTTGTTGTTGTTGTTGTTGTTGTTGTTGTTGTTGTTGTTGTTGTTGTTGTTGTTGTTGTTGTTGTTGTTGTTGTTGTTGTTGTTGTTGTTGCTGCTGCTGCTGCTGTTGTTGTTGTTGTTGTTGTTGTT